TATATTATTAGCATAGTACAATATCAGTATATATTACTATATTGCACTATACCATTATATTATAATATTATTAGTAATATGTTTGCATTTCATGTTTTCTGCCTAAGTGGAGCATCTTGCGTTTGTCCCTGTTGAACTTCATTTTGTTAGTTTTATTTATTTATTTACATTATTTCTATCCCGCCCATTTCAGCCCAAAGGCGATTCAGGGTGGTATACACAGTCAGCACAATTCGATGCCGAAAAAAATACATACATTGATAAAGCAAAAACATCAAGTGCAATTAAACATAAACAACAGTGCATAATAAACAATTTAAAAAGAGACTATGTCCTCTCGTTCAAACCTTCATCCGTTACATTGTCTTGGCCGTTCCTGGGTCAATTTCCAACTCTAGCTTGTCTGTTTACTCCGGGGTTCTGAATGCTTGCTCAAAGGGCCACGTTTTTACTCTTTTTCGGAAAGTCAGGAGGGAGGGGGGTGATCTAATATCCCTAGGGAGGGAGTTCCACAGCCAGGGGGCCACCACAGAGAAGGCCCTGTCTCTCATCCCTGCCAAACGTGCCTGCGAAGCAGGTGGGATTGAGAGCAGGGCCTCCCCAGATGATCTTAAGTTCCTGGGGGGTTCGTAGGTAGAAATGCGTTCAGATAGATAGACTGGGCCAGAACCGTTTAGGGCTTTATAGGCTAAAGCCAGCACTTTGAATTGAGCCCGGTAGCAGACTGGCAGCCAGTGGAGCTGATTCAACAGAGGAGTTGTATGCTCCCTGAGTGCCACTCCTGTTAGCAACCTGGCTGCCAAGCGTTGGACCATTTCAAGCTTCCGGGCCGTCTTCAAAGGCAACCCCACGTAGAGTGTGTTGCAGATGTAACCAGAGTGTGGACCACCGTGGCCAAGTCAGACTTCCCAAGGTACGGGCGCAGCTGGCACACAAGTTTTAACTGTGTGAATGCTCCCCTGGTCGCCACCGAAACCTGAAGATCCAGGCTCAAAAATGAACCCAGGATCACACCCAAGCTGCGAACCTGCGTCTTCGGGGGGAGTGTAACCCCGTCTAACACGGGCTGTAACCCTATGCCCTGTACGGCCTTGCGACTGACCAGGAGTACCTCTGTCTTGTCTGGATTCAATTTCAATTTGTTCACCCTCATCCAGACCGTCACAGCGGCCAAGCACTGGTTCAGGACCTGAACAGCCTCCTTAGTAGCAGGTGGAAATGCCTTCTAACCCAGAGTGTTTATGTAGTGTTTACGATTTGGGGAATTGGAAAGTGAGTCCCATTAAGGGTTCAGGACCATGGCCAGCAACCCTACAAGAAAGATGGGAAACAAGGGTTTTGCGGATGAAATGCAGGAACCAAGGTGGGATGCCCTCTGTGTGAAAGTATGGGAGGGCTCACTGCTTGACAAGGAATAACCGAAAGACAGTGCAATGTAACAATTGAAGTGGTAGATTAAAACGGAGGAGTCCCCATCCAGATCCTCACTCAACCATGGAATTGCATTGCAATTGAACCCCAGTTTAAGTTACCTTACGAGGTTCACTACAAAGATAAAGGGGAGGAAGAAAACCAGGTGTACCACCAGGCAGGTTGTTCACCCCATGTCATTAATGGGTATTTGGGGTCCAAATAATAATAATAATAATAATAATAATAATAATAATAATAATAATAATAGAGTAAAATAATAAATGTAATAATAAAACAGCAAGATAATAAATGTAATTAAAAACAATAGACTAAAATAATAAATGTAGTAAAATAAAGAGTAAAATAATAAATCTATATAAATAAAAATGTAATGTTTGTGATATTCACAGAACTCAAAAACCACTGGACGAATTGACACCAAATTTGGACACAAGACACCTAATAACCCAATGTATGTCCTTCACTCAAAAAATTGATTTTGTCATTTGGGAGTTGTAGTTGCTGGGATTTATAGTTCACCTACAATCAAAGAGCATTCTGAACCCCAACAGCGATGGAACTGAACCAAACTTGGCACACAGTTCTCCCATGACCAACAGAAAATAACAGGAAGGGTTTGGTGGGCAGTGTCCTTTGGTTTTGGAGTTATAGTTCACCTACATCCAGAGATCTCTGTGGACTCAAACAATGATGGATCTGGACCAAACTCTACACAAATACTCAATATGCCCAAATGTGAACACTGGTGGAGTTTGGGGAAAATAGAATCTTGACATTTGGGAGTTGTAGTTGCTGGGATTTATAGTTCACCTACAATCACAGATCATTCTGAACCCCACCAACGATAGAATTGGGCCAAACCTCTCACACAGAACCCCCATTACCACCAGAGAGGGCCACAGCAACGCGTGGCAGGGGACGGCTAGTGTAATAATAATGGAGTAAAATAACAAATGCAATAAAACAATAATAGAGTAAAATAATAAATGTAATAATAATAGAGTAAAATAATGTAAAAAAACAATAGAGTAAAATAATAAATATAATAATAATAGAGTGAAGTAATACATGTAATAAAAACAATAGAGTAAAATAATAAATGTAATAAAATAATAATAGAGTAAAATAATAAATGCAATAAAAACAATAATAGAGTAAAATAATGTAATAAAATAATAGAGTAAAATAATAAATGTAATAAAATAATACTAATAACAAAGTAAAATAATAAATAATCTTGACCTCGAGTATAACCTGAAGGGAGCTTTTTCAGCCTAAAAAAAGAGACTGATACTCAAGTATATACAGTAAGTACAAGAACTTCAGTACACAAACTGCCCCGAATAAGCAACACACACAATGATTTACGACCCATTGAGAAAACTATTGTTTATTTAGAAAAAAGGTTACACTGGTAGAATTTGTCAGATAAAAAAATTGGTTTTTCCTTTTTTTAAAAATGTCATTGTGAAACTTTTTCTTTTTTTTGACTAAACTCCAGCGATACAAAGCTCCTGCAGCAGCTGTAATATTGAAACCTAATTTTTTTTTGAAATTTTAGCTTTGAAGAAAGTTATTTTTCCCCAATTTCTCTAAAAACATTATGACAAAACGTTAAGGTGTAGTGAGGGAAAGTGTAGGGCGGCTCGCTCCCGAAACACATCAGTGCTGTGCACATAATATACAAATAATTCATACGCACCACGTGACGGCAGCGCTCCCGCTTCGTTTTTAGTCATCGATATTAAAAACAATAAATTAAAAAAAAAAGCTGGGTTCTAAATGAGGTAAATTCCCAAGGTTCAATAACTGTTTTATTTGTAGGTTTTCCAAACACCCCAAAATAATGCATTTCCAACCGAAAAGGGTTTTACCAAACTCAGGCAGTATTTCGATCACCGAATGCGGCTTTCTGTACACGTGGAAACCCCCCCATTAGTTTTGCACGATGGCAACGGTTTGCAGCACATTGTGCTCAAAATATGGAACATGTAACACTTTCAGCCAGGTACTGAAAATAAATGCTTAAGGAACTAAGAGACAAGTTAAAAATACAGTAATGTACAACTCAACAATCAAATCTTCCGCACTGGGAGGGAAATAAAAGCAAGAGAACTGAATAATTTAAGGAGATGCAGATGGGTCCTCTTCATACGAATTTCCTGTGCAATCTAGAGTCCAGAAAGATCCGTTTTCTGGCCACAGCTCTTCCCATATCTTCTCGGTCTAAAAGGGAGGATCAAACAGATTTCCTAAACATCAGGTATTTTTAGGATTTATTTATTTATTTATCGAATTTATATACCGCCTCTCCCCGAAGGCTCGGAGCGGTTTACAACATACATATGCAATACATTACATTTAAAAACAAAGAAAAATTTCAATCAACCAGATTCAAATGCCAGCCGAAATAAATAAGTTTTACAAGCTCTACGAAAAGATAGTAAATCTTGGAGAGCTCGTGTTTCCGCTGGCAAGGCATTCCAGCAATATGTCCCAGAAGCACTTTATTAGAGTTTAAGATTGCCTGCACACTGCACTTACCCTAAAATCCGACCTACCACCTGTCACACCCAGCACTTTTTAATCTGTACCCATTACATTTGGCCCGGCCCTAGTTTTATTGTGTTATGGTGTACTGCTTTTGTTGTTTCTGTTATTGCTTTAATTGTTTTGATTTGCTTTAAGTTGTGTATTTGTTATGCTATTGTTTTATTGAGGCCTTGGCCTTTGTAAGCCTCATCGAGTCCTTCGGGAGGTGCTAGCAGGGTACAAATAAAGTTAATAATAATGATAATAATAATAATAATTCCACAGGTAAGGAGCCACCACCGTGAAAGCTCTACGCCTAGTAGACATCAGGTGAAAGGTCCTAAAATTGGGAACTTCAAGGAGATTCTGATCATCTGAATGGAGTGATCTCGGGGGTTGGTAGGGGGTGAGGCAGTCCCTCAGGTACTCCGGCCCCAGGACTTATCAGGCCTTAAAGGTAAGAATCAGCACTTTGAAGGTGATCTGGTAGTCAATCGGCAACCAGTGCAGTTGCTGCAAGACTGGAGTGATATGACACCTCGCTGGGACCCCTGTGAGAAGCCGGGCAGCAGCAGTTTGCACTACTTTAAGTTTCCGGATCACCAATAAAGGCAGGCCTATGTAGAGAGCATTACAGTAGTCCAGCCTTGAGATGACCGTAGCCTGGATCACCGTGGCCAGAGGTCGTCCCTGGACAGATAGGGAGCCAGACGCCTCGCCTGACGCAGATGGAAAAATGCGACTCTGCTCACAGCGGAGACCTGGGCCTCCATCGTCAGCAGAGGATCTAAAAGGACTCCCAGACTCTTTACCAAAAATGACGGGCACAATGTCACGCCATCCAGGGTAGGCAACCGGATCAACCCAACCAAAGGATCTCCGCCATTGATTTCACAATATATATATTTAAAAATCATAATTCAGTCAATGCTTTGTCAAAGGCTTTCATGGCCGGAATCACTGGGATGCTGTGAGTTTTCTGGGCTGCCTGGCCATGTTCCAGAAGCATTCTCTCCTGGCGTTTCGCCCACATCTATGGCAGGGTTGTGAGGTCTGTTGGAAACTAGGAAAATGGGGTTTATATACCTGTGGAATTATGTCCAGGGTGGGAAAAAGAGCTCTTGTCTGCTTGAGGCAAGGGTGAATATTGCAATAATAATAATAATAATAATAATAATAGTAATAATAATAGTAATAATAATAATATTTTTATACCCCGCCTCCATCTCTCCGAAGGTACTCAGGGCAGCTTACAAAGGGACATGCCCAACAAAACAGGCTAAAATAAGCATAAAAAAACAAGCAATATCAAACATCAATAAACATAAAACCAAAAAATATTATACAAAAAATTAAAAGCAATATTATAGCTAAGCAAATAAAGTGCTGGGTTCGGTTCGTAAATTACCAAGTGTAATGAATCCTAAGTAGAGACAAGGAAAAGGTGCCACTGACCACCTTGATTATTTATTTATTTATTTCTGCTGCTTATACCCCGCCCTTCTCACCCCCGAGGGGGGACTCAGGGCGGCTTACAAAAAGAAGGCACAATTCGATGCCCTTATCCAAATACATACAAATATAAAAACAATTACAATAATTAAACAATTAACAGATTAAAAACATCAATATATAACACAATAGCACAACAATAAACAGTCTCATGGTCAGTGTTTCGAGTTCCATAGGTCCAATAGGTTTCGTCATTATTTGCCCATCATTATGGTCTTTCTTTTTAGCTGCCAGAGTTTCCAAAAGCCTGGTCCCACATCCAAGTTTTCAGCTTTTTCCTGAATGAGAGAAGGGAAGTCGCTGATCTGATCTCCCCGGGGAGTGAGTTCCACAGGTGGGGGGCCACTACTGAGAAGGCCCTGCTCCTCGTCCCCGCCAGTCTCACTTGTGATAAAGGCGGGGTCGAGAGCAGGGCCTCCCCAGAAGATCTTAGACTCCGAGGTGGGATGTAGAGGGAGATCCGTTCGGACAGATACACTGGGCCGGAACCGTATAGGGTTTTGTAGGTCAAAACCAGCACTTTGAATTGTGCTCGGAATTGGATCGGCAGCCAGTGGAGCTGACATAACAGGGGGGTGGTATGCTCCCTGTATGCCGCTCCGGTGAGCAATCTGGCTGCCTCCCGCTGGACTAGTTGGAGTTTCCGAGCAGTCTTCAAAGGCAACCCCACGTAGAGTGCGTTGCAGTAATCCAATCGGGATGTAACAAGAGCGTGGACCACCGTGGCCAGATCCGACTTCCCAAGGTACGGGCGCAGCTGGCGCACAAGTTTTAATTGTGCAAAAGCTCTCCCGGCCACCGCTGAGACCTGGGGTTCCAGGCTCAGCGATGAGTCCAGGATCACTCCCAAGCTGCGAACCTGCGTCTTCAGGGGGAGTGTAACCCCGTCTAACACAGGCTGTAACCCTATACCCTGTTCGCACTGAATTAGCACTGAATGGCTTTGCAGCTTCAAAACCTGGCTGCTTCCTGCCCGAAGGAATCCTCTGTTGGGAGGTGTTAGCTGGCCCTAATTGTTTCCTGTCTGGAATTCCTCTGTTTTCTGAGTGCTACTCTATTTATTGTCCTGATTTTGGAGTTTTTTAATACCAGTAGCCAGATTTTGTTCCTTTTCATGGTTTCCTCCTGTTGAAATTGTCCAATGACTTCTCTATGTAGCCTGACACAGTAGTTGTTAGAACGTGGTGGTTGTCCAGCATTTCTGTGTTCTCAAATAATATGCTGTGCCTAGGAAGCAGCCAGGCTTTGAAGCTGCAAGGCCATTCAACGCTAATGAAGGTGGCCAACTGTAACGTTCACACTTGCCTCAAACAGACAAGAGTTCTTTCTTCCGCCCTGGACATTATTCCACAGATAAATAAACTTCACTTGCGGCCTTTGTTAGCTATTGCAATGCAAATTGCGCAAAAGTTGGTAATGACTGTGTGAATAATGAAAATCTGGCCGAGATAGTGCTTGCAGTTCCGGAGAGACTCTGATGTTTGCTTTTCATAGACTTGACGTAGGGTTGGTTAACCAGTTAATATAATATATCGGACCGGGTCATGGTACAGCTGGTTGGGAGTCAGATGCATTAAATTCACTACTGACCAAAAGGTCCTGAGTTCGAAGCCAACTCAGGTCAGAGTAAGCTCCCGACCATTTGTCTAGCTTGCTGTGGACCTTTGGCATGGGGATTTGGTTAACAAGTTAAAATTCATGAGTATTTTCGACTTGAGCATGGAACTGCCCTTCTTACCTTGGTCAGGAGAGTGTTCATTATCTGTGCTTGTCCGAAGATTTATGAGTAGATCAACGATTAAGGGAAATAACTGTTTCAAAGAAGAAAGTCATCTTCAAAGTGACTACTGTAATGGTCTATAATTGTTAGCCAACAAAAGCAACCTAAAACAATTGCACAGGTGAGATAAGCATCTTAGAACCATCCTCTGCTCTGAGTAGAATGAGTAGCAAGAGCTTTGTTCATCCCAGGAAAAATAATATCATACGAAAGCTGACTGGCATAACCTGGGGATCACAACCAGACATAGTGAAGGCATCTACCCTTGCGCTTTGCTGCTCTGCTGCTGAGTATGCATGCCCAGTGGGGAACACATCTCACCACGCTAAAACAGTGGATGTGGCACTTAATGAGACATGCCGCATTATCACAGGGTGTCTATGCACTACACCGCAGGAGAAATTACACTGTTTGGCTGGTATTGCACCACCTGACATCTGCGAGGAACTAGCAACCAATAGTGAAAGGACCAGGGCATTGGCATCTCTGGTCCATCCCCTGTTTGGATATCAGCCAGCACGCCAATGACTTAAACCAAGAAATAGTTTTCTAAAATCTACAGAGAAACTCACAGGAACACCTCAGCAAGCAAGAGTCCAAAAGTGGCAGGCTCAAACCCAGAACCTCAGGGGACAGTTCCATCACTTGTCTCCTGTGCTATGGTAATAATATAATACAATATAATGTAATATAATATATTGTATATACATATAATATTTATAATATTATAATGTAATACAATGTAATACTACTAATAATAATATAATTATATATTTTATATTACATATAATATTACTAACAATATAATAATATTACTCGCTGGAATACCTCAGCAAGCGAGAGTCCAAAAGTGGCAGGCTAAAACCCAGAACCTTAGGGGACAGTTCCATCTTGTCTCCTGTGCTATGGTAATAATATAATGTAATATAATGTAATATATTGTGTATACATATAATATTTATAATATTATAATGTAATACAATGTAATACTACTACTACTACTAATATAATTATATATTTTATATTACATATAATATTACTAATAAAATAATAATATTACTTGCTGGAATACCTCAGCAAGCGAGAGTCCAAAAGTGGCAGGCTAAAACCCAGAACCTCAGGGGACAGTTCCATCTTGTCTCCTGTGCTATGGTAATAATGTAATATAATATATTGTATATACATATAATATTTATAATATTATAATATAATACAATGTAATACTACTACTAATAATATAATTATATATTTTATATTACATATAATATTACCAATAATATAATAATATTACTCGCTGGAAGACCTCAGCAAGCAAGAGTCCAAAAGTGGCAGGCTAAAACCCAGAACTTCAGGGGACAGTTCCATCTTGTCTCCTGTGCTATGGTAATAATATAATATAATGTAATGTAATATAATATATTGTATATATATATAATATTTATAATATTATAATGTAATACAATGTAATATTACTACTAATAATATAATTATATATTTTATATTACATATAATATTACTAATAAAATAATATTACTTGCTGGAATACCTCAGCAAGTGAGAGTCCAAAAGTGGCAGGCTAAAACCCAGAACCTCAGGGGACAGTTCCATCTTGTCTCCTGTGCTATGGTAATAATGTAATATAATATATTGTATATACATATAATATTTATAATATTATAATATAATACAATGTAATACTACTACTACTAATATAATTATATATTTTATATTACATATAATATTACTAATAATATAATATTACTCGCTGGAACACCTCAGCAAGCAAGAGTCCAAAAGTGGCAGGCTAAAACCCAGAACCTCAGGGGACAGTTCCATCTTGTCTCCTGTGCTCTGGTAATAGTATAATATAATATAATATAATATAATATAATATAATATAATATATTGTATATACATATAATATTTATAATATTATAATGTAATACAATATAATACTACTAATAATAATATATTATAATTATATATTTTATATTACATGTAATATTACTAATAATATTACAATATAATGGTATAGTAAAATATAGTAATATATAATGCTGATATTGTACGATGCTAATAATAAAATATATTGTATGTATATATATCTTGTAAGCCGCTCTGAGTCCCCTTTGAGGTGGGAAGGGCGCCATATAAACATTGTAAATAAATAAATAAACCTCAATCAATGTGTGTGTGTTTTTACAAAATGCAATACAACTGTTTGGTTCGGTCCTGACACAATAAATAAATAAATATCCCAGGAAGAATTTATTTCGGAAGAATCTCTGCTCTCTCGTATGTGGTGCTGCTTCTTACCCTATTTTAATCCCTTCTGCATAACCCTTGACTTATCCACAAGTCCTACAGAAATCCGTAATTTCGATCCCATAACCTGCCCTCCACTTCTGCACCAACGTATAGGGCGATCACACAATAAAGGGATATTGTTTCTTCTCTTCTTTGCCCCCAGTACTGTCCCGCTTCTCCTTTTTCTCAGATTTCTCCTTATCGTGCCTGGATTCCTAAAACAGAGTGGGGAAAAAACAAGAGGAAACGTAAGAAATATTTTTTTAATTTATTTCTTTTCTAAAGAACAGTGGAAGAACAAATAAGCTAAAAGGAAAGGTTTGTGTTTTTCTTTTCTAGAAAAAGGGCATTTATGTTGTATGGTTTTCTCTCCACACTTGTATTTATTTATTTACAGCATTACAGCATTTATATTCCGCCCTTCTCACCTCGAAAGGCAAATCACAGAACATAATATGTGGCAAACATTCAATGTTGTTTTATATACAACCAGACAGACAATTATACATAGATGAAAGTAAAGGCAAAGGTTTCCCTGGCATTAAGTCCAGTCGTGTCCAACTCTGGGAGGTTGGTGCTCATCTCCATTTCTAAGCCAGAGATGGCGTTGTCCACAGACACCTAAAAAAGTCATGTGGCCAGCATGACTGCATGGAGCACCATTACCTTTCCGCAGAAGAAGTACCTATTGATCTACTCACATTTGCATGTTTTCAAACTGCTAGGTTGGCAGAAGCTGGGCCTAAGAGCGGGAGCTCACCATGCTCTGCAGCATGATTACATGGAGTGCTGTTACCTTCCCTGAGAAGCGGTACCTATTGATCTACTCACATTTGCATGTTTTCAAACTGCTAGATTGGGAGAAGCTGGGCCTAACAGCGGGAGCTCGCCCCGCTCCCCGGATTCAAACCACCAACCTTTCGGTCAGCAAATTCAGCAGCTCAGTGGTTTAATCCACTGTGCCACCAGCAGGCCTATATATATAGATATAGATATATATGTATATGTATGTATATATTGGCTTTCCCCATCTTTTAGTATCTTGGAAGGTGTTGTGATTGGTGTATGGGAGAAGGGTGGAATATAAATGCTGTAAATAAATAAACCCTGAACTCTATGGAAGTGGACAGCTACTATACTTCAGGAAAAAAGGATATAACATATTTTAGAGGTTTCTAGTATCACATATATGTTACATCCTCATATGGAGGAGATTCACATGCCTCCAAATGTGGCGCTTGCTTCCAAAAGTTACTAAATCCACAGGAAGAAATTTTACAGAAATAATAATACTAATAACTTGCAGAGGATATGCATTCTTTTGCTAAAAATCCCATTTTTCCAAGTCCTGTACCAAAGTTATTTGGTTACATTTTGATAATATTCTACCCTTGGGTAACAACCTGCTGCCATCTATAATTCTTTTTTTTTCCCAATTGGATTTGATACCATTCAACATCTTGTTCGAGTATTTTGCTAGAAATATTAAAAGGCAATGTGTGTGTGTGTGTATGTGTGTGTGTGTGTTTGGTCTTGCCTTTTTGCTACCAGATGAGCTCTTTTCCATCTTTTCGACTTTTATGGAATCTCCTTTCTCTTTGCTGGAAGATTTTGATTTGTTTTTCTCCTTTTCGTTGGAGCGAGGGGAATCGGAAGGGCTGACACTCTTGCTATGCTTGGAAGAACCAGCTGAGAAAGAGACAAACAAACAACAACAACATACAAACTTATCATCTGCCCATTCCAGGTAGAGCAGTGGTTCTCAACCTTCCTAATGCTACGACCCCTTAATACAGTTTCTCGTTTTGTGGTGACCCTCAATCATAAAATTATTTTCGTTGTTACTTCCTAACTTTAATTTTGCTACTATTACGAATTGTAATGGAAATATCTGATATGCAGGATGTATTTTCATTCGCTGGACCAAATTTGGCACAAATACCTGCCATACCCAAATTTGACTGCTGGTGGGGTTAGGGGTGGGATTGATTTTATCATTTGGGAGTTATAGTTTCTGGGATTTATAGTTAACCTACAATCAAAGAGCATTCTGAACTCCACTAACAATGGAATTGAACCAAACTTGGCACACAGACCTCCCATGACCAACAAAAAATACTGGAAGGGTTTGGTGAGCATTGGCCTTGAGTTTTGGAGTTGTAGTTCACCTATATCTAGCGAGCACTTTGGACTCAATAGTCAATATGCCCAAATGTGAACACTGGTGGAGTTTGGGGGAAATAGAGCTTGACATTGGGGAGTTGTAGTTGCTGGGATTTGTAGTTCACCTACAATCAAAGAGCATTCTGAACCCCACCAATGAGAGAATTGGGCCAAACTTCCCACACAAAACCCCCATGACCAACAGAAAATACTGTGTTTTCTGATGGTCTTTGGTGACCCCTCTGACACCCTCTCACGACCCCCCCCAGGGGTCCCAACCCCCAGGTTGAGAACCACTGAGGTAGAGCAATGTTTACAAAGAGAAAGTTTAAGAAAACATACTTGTTCCGTTCTCCTCTTTCCGACGCTTAGTTGAATCCTGTGGCACTTCCCGGTCACTATTGGAATGATCCTAATTAGACACAACAGTAACAAATTGAACACAGATGTACAAAACATAGACTTTCCCCCTTTGTAGTGCCTATTTTGCACTTGCCCCAGAGACCCTACATTATTTATCTTCATGCAAACGCAAAGCAAACACTCAAGACTACATTAATTAGACTTAATCGAAGAGATTAAACAAGTGTATAAAGATCACAAACCCTTTTCCGATCTTTCCTTTCTTTTTCCTCTTTCTTTTCTCTCTCTCTGGATCTTTCCCTCGATTTGTCCAAATCTTTCTTGTCCAGTTCTCTCTCCTTACTCTTGGACAGGGTGGGAGTGGAGTGGTTAACATAATGCTGTCAAATTAAGGCAAAGAGTACCGTGGGTTAATGGGTATTTTTAAGAGGCAGTGCGTCAGAATAATAAGCCACTTAAACCAAGATACCGAAATATTATCAAGTCAAGGTCATAACATTATTTTCTTTGCTACTTCATAGCTGTAATTTTGTTATAGTTACGAGTTGTAATGTAAATATCTGACCTGCAATATATATTTTCATTCACTGGACCAAATTTGGCACAAATACCTGATACACCCCAATTTGAATACTGGTGGGGTTGAGGGGAGGGTTGGTTTTGTCATTTGGGAGTTGTAGTTGCTGGGATTTATAGTTCACCTACAATCAAAGAGCATTCTGAACTCCACCAGCAATAGAATTGGGCCAAACTTCCCACACAGAACCCGCATGACCAACACAAAATACTGGAGGGATTTGGGAGAAATTGACAGTGATTTAGGGGAGATTAGTTCACCTACCTCTGGAGAGCACTGTGAACCCAAACAACGATGGATCTGGACCAAATTTGGCACAAATACCTGATTCGCCAAAATTTGAATACTGGTAGAGTTGAGGGGGGGGGTAGATTTTGTAATTTGGGAGTTGTAGTTGCTGGGATTTATAGTTCACCTACAATCAAAGAGCATTCTGAATTCCACCAACAATGGAATTGAACCAAACCTGGCACATGGAACTCCCATGACCAATAGAAAATACTGAAGGGTTTTGTGGGCATTGACCTTGAGTTTTGGAGTTGTGGTTCATCTACATCCAGAGATCACTGTAGACTCAAACAATGTTGGATCTGTATCAAACTTGGCATGAATACTCAAAATGCTTGAATATGAACACTGGTGGAGTTTGGGGAAAATAGACCTTGACATTTGGTAGTTGTAGTTCCTGGGATTTATAGTTCACCTACAACCAAAGAGCACTCTGAATCCCACGAATGATAGAACTGGGCCAAACTTCCCATACAGAACTCCAATGAACAACAGGAAATACTGTGCTTTCCTGGTGGCCTTTGGCGACCCCTCTGACAGCCCCCTTCCCAACCTCACCAGGGATCCCGACCCTCAGGTTGAGAAATGATGCCACACAGCAACCTAGCTCTCCTTTCTCGCAAAGAGCGCACCTTCCTCTCCTCTCTCGGTGCAGCGCGCACCTTCCTCTCCCACTCCTCTCTCAGCGCCAGTCTTTTCTACTTTTCCTTATTCATATACACACAGCATTTTCCCCAAAATGTCTACTTAAAATAAACTATGGTGATTATTGCAAGAATACGTAAGCACTAGGCTTGTTTGATTTTAAAAAAGGTTCAAAACTCGTTTTGGGTCAATTCCAATTTTCACAGAAAAAAATGTTCATAACTTTTTGAAACTTCAGAATCCTTTCATTAATGGTTTGAAAGTGTTATTTCCTGTTTCATTGGGTGCTCTTTACTTTGAAAGTAGTTGTTTTACTCCAGGAGTTGGGAATAGTAAGCAGAGGAATTTTTTTCCTTCCCCGGTTTAAAACCGGCTTCTCTGGCTTGAGGCAGAAGCGGGAATGGCGAAGGGAGGAAATTCAGCCTTCCCCAGTTTAAAACTGGCTTCTCTGGCTTGAGCTGAGGCCAGGACCAGAATAATTTCCAACTCACTTCCTGAGTCGGAAGAAAAATGGCGCTTCAAAAAGGTAATTTTTCCAAATTTATTCTGAATTACGAAGATTCCGACTGGACATATCAATGCCTAGTAAGCACATTTACACTGAAGGAGGTTAGAATAATGGTTTAAGAGATGGGCAGTCTTATCTTAAATTACAGTTTTATGTAAATATTCAATAACATTTAACCTACTGATGCCTCAGTTAATGTAATTGTATTGTTATTGCTTTTTATTTTGAAATTTACCAATAGCTGCTGCATTTCCCACCCTCGGTTTAGACGTTTCCCCAGTTCTTTTGTGGCAAAATTAGGTGCCTCAGCTTACACAGCAGAGTCTCACTTATCCAACATAAACAGGCTTGCAGAACGTTGGATAAAAGAAAATATTGAGTAAGGAAGGATTAAGGAAAATCCTATTAAACATCAAATTATGTTATGATTTTACAAATTAAGCACCAAAACTTCATGTTTTATAATAACTTGACAGAAAAAGCAGTTCAATACACGGTAACGTTATGTGGTAATTACTGTATTTACGAATTTAGCACCAAAACATTGCAATGTATTGTAACAACAGTGGATCCGAGCGGGAGGCAGGCTGCTTGTTGACAATTTAATTATATTTTAACTCGTGTGTCAAGTATCACCAAATTGAACACTTCATTTACATGGCGGGCACCATTTTTTCTCTGCTTGACCTAAGGTTATCACCTTGAATATGATGACCTGTATGTAAGTTTACACAGCAGGAATAGGGTGTGCCCCCCCCCCCCCCCGGAAGTTTATCTGCCATTGTTGACCTGTGGAACAACATTTGAAAACTAGAGATGTAGCAAAATGAAATATACACATATATATATATATATCAATATCGTAGCCGGTTGCATATGAGCAATGCACCTCTTACAACGCATCCTGTAGCCTTATACTATACTCATTGCTATGACATTTTGCAGCATTTTGTGTATTGTCTGGGTGACTGAAAGATTCAAACCTTTGCTGAAGAGTCCTTGAGTTCGCTGAGGTTGTCCTGTTGGAAATGAATGGAGATGAGACGTGAGCTCGCACAGTTCTCAGAAACCGCAAGGACTTGGGGAAGCGGGGCCAGACCCTTGAAACAAAGAAAACAGCTATTCCTTCCAGGAATAAGTCCAGAGTTAATAATTCTCAAAAACAGGCATGCAGAAAGGAAATCAGTCACAAGGTAAAGGATTCTTTGAAAGGCCCACCCAACCCACAAAGAAAAAACAAAGCTATATTCCTAGCTCAATTAGAGACCCTCCCTAGCTAAATATTAAAGGTAGCCATTTTCAAAAGCGTAGCCACATTAGTCTGTTACCGTATAACAGACAATCTTGTGCTGGCTTTTAAGGATAGTATATTCAGTTTAGTGTCACCTTTCGTGGACTACAAACCACATCCTCAGATTTGAGCATCAAGTATATACACACCAAAGTCCATAAGTTAGACTCCACCCTGCTTATACCCTGCTTATACCCATCATGAGTGCCATTGGATCCCCCACATACAACTTGGCAAATTTTCTGGCCAAACAACTACAAACCCATATTGGGCTCGCTATGTACAGACAAAACCTCAAGATCAATGTCAACAACAAACTGATCGGCTTTGATGTGTTATCTCTATTTACCAAGGTCCTGGTAACAGACACCATCGCATGAATCAACCAGAAGTTCCCATGGCCCTGGTTCACCATGGTCTCACTACAAGCTACTTCCAGATGGAGCAGTCCTCTCAGTTCCATCATAGCTAACTTCTACATGGAACACTTTGAGAAACAAGCCCTGGAAACAGCAACAAAAAAGCCCACTACATGGTTCAGATTTGTGGATGACACCTTCACCATTTGGAGTCATGGAGAAGAACCCAACAAGTTCCTGGACCACCACAATAGAATCCACGCAAACATTCAATTCACCATGGAAAAAGAAAATGAAGGAAAACTGTCGTTTTTAGATGTCCTAGTCATCTGCAAAGCGAATCAACAATTGGGTCACACAGTTTACAGAAAACCTACATACACGGATAGATACCTACATAAAAACTCCAACCATCACCCAAGTCAAACAAGAAGCACCATTAAAGCCCTGGCAGACCATGCAGAAAGCATCTGCAAAGCCCACCTCCTCCAAGATGAACTGAACCACCTCAACTGGGCTCTCCAGGCCAAGGGAGACTCCACCACAGACATTAGAAGAGCTGCAAGACCGAGAACAAGTCATGAGACTCAAGACCAAGATCCACCCAGAGGAAAAGTGATCTTACCATACATCAAGGGAACTACTGACCGCACAGGGAAGCTGATGAGGAAGCACAACCTACAAACTATCTCCAGACCCACCAAGAAAATCCAACAAGTTTTATTTATTTATTAACAACATTTATATGCAGCCCTTCTCACTCCAAAGGGGACTCAGAGCGCCTTACAAATTATATGTAAATACAATATATTATATTATTAGTATAGCACAATATTAGCACCAAACATTCCCATATCGTACTATACCACTATACTGTAATATTATTAGTAATATTACATGTAATATAAAATATATAATTTCTATATTGTATTTTTATTTGTATTATATTGCTCTGTTCAGCAAAGGACAAGAGGGATCCTCTCAGCTCTGCGGGAGTCTACCGTGTACCATGAAGCTGTGGACAAGAAGTCTACATAGGAACCACCAAGCGCAGCAGCATTGCCCAGACACCAATCAAGGAACGTGAAAGGCACTGCAGACTACTTCAACCAGAGAGGTCAGCCATAGCAGAGCACCTGATGAACCAACCTGGACACAGCATATTATTTGAGAACACAGAAATGCTGGACCACTCTCTCAACCACCATGTCAGGCTACACAGAGAAGCCATTGAAATCCACAAGAAGCATGTGGACAATTTCAACAGAAAGGAGGAGACCATGAAAATGAGCAAAATCTGGCTACCAGAATGTAAAAGACTCCAAAATCAGGAAAGTAAATAAAGAACAATACCCAAAGAAATGGGGAATTCCAGACAAGAATCAATCAGGGCCAGCTAACACCTCCCAACAAAGGATCCCCAGGCAGCAACCAGCCAAGCTTTGAAGCTGTAAGGCCATTCAATGCAAAAGATGGCCATTTGCAACATTCACAGCTGCCTCAAGCAGACAAAAGTTCTTTCTCCTTCCCTGGACAGCATTCCACAGATATATAAACCTCACTTGCGTGGTTTCCAACAGATCTCACAATAAATGTGGGCAAAACGACAAGAGAGAGTTCTTTCTGGAACATGGCCAGACAGCCTGGAACACTCACAGCAACCCCTATATACACACCATTATGGGGATGAGATCAGCATGATAATGGATGTGCAACATGAGAAATATATTCACTGTGTATACACTTGAGGGTCAAATACTACATTTTGCACATCAGAGAACGTGAAGTGCAATCCTTGCAAGCCCAATAAGCTTTTGGTCTTAAAGCTCCTCTTGCTGTTGTAACAATAACTGTTTTGGGCACCACTGAATGGCCCCAGTATTATTATATTTTTAATGGAAAGTTATATTCGAGTATAATGGAATACTGCAGTCGTTCCCACACACTTGCATAAAGTTAAATCCCACTCAAGCAAGCACAGGAAGGACTTTGACCCAAATGACTGACTATGACTCAGAAATAACAACGTGCGTTTTATTTGTCTGGCCAATTGCTCTGTGCCTTCGTCCAACCTCTTAAAAAAACAACAACAAAGGGGATTCTTTGAAAGGTTGGCAAGATGGCAACAACCCTCCACACACACAATTCACTCCTCCCGGGGCTCTGAGGCGGCGTATCGGTAACTTACAGTTTCAAAGCTTCTGCAAACGCAAAGATTCCGTATGAGCTTTAGAGATGGTTTAGAAATAATAAAAAAATATACAAAAAAAGAAAAAGAAAAACACGGAGCAAGGAATTGCTACCCTGAGTCTTCTGAGAAGGCTACAGCCATGGTTTTGTGCTGCGCTCAGCTGCTGGGGATTTTTCTCTTTGCTGGGCGGAAGGAAGGTTTTGGCTGCCACGTCTGGTTTAAGCGCAATGCGGAGCTCAACGGGGTGGGAGCCCACCGGAATATAAACAAACCTCGCAGGGAAGGTGCAACAGAAGCTGCCTGCTCATCACTCAACACACACAACTACAGGAGAACTGATCACCAAGGAGGCTTTTTTAAAAAAACGGGGCTCCTTGTCAAGGCTCCTCCTCGGAAGGCACGCATCGGTATTGAATGAAGCTCATCAAGAAGCCTGAGGCATTCAGAGGTATCACGTTATCTTGCCATCCTTCGGAAACTCTCTCTTCGGTGCTACGCGTTCTTCCACGTCAATGCCGAAATGCATGCTCCTCTGCTCTGCTGCCGCCAGAGACTTGAGCTTGCTTGTAGCTACCACTGCACTCCACAAAAATATATATCTGACTGTTTAAAAACAGCGAGGCACTTTCGGTTTTGTGTTTCAAAAAAAATCTTGCCACTCTCGAGCTCTATTTACAACATTTCCGCTAGGTCCTTGAAGCTTTTATTTCTTTTTCTAATATTTTTTTTCCGCTCTCTCTCAATATGGGGAAAAAAAAGAGTCCACCAACCAAGAAAAGGAATGCATTTTCCTCTAATTCAAACGTGAAAGCTCCCAATGGCTCCACTCGGCACAAAACTTGACGGAAGTCGGACAATGGCATTCCAAACACGACAGCCTAAAAATGGGCGCTGCCTTCCTCAGGCTATACTAACCTTTACTGTAGAGGAATGCGATGGAGAACAGTGGCTATCAACTTTGCGGCGTTTTTGTTCTGCGGGAACAGAAGGAGAGAAAAGGGAACCGATGTTACTCAACCATTATATCGCACATCCACCAATCAAAACTTTATTACAATTGGCTCAGTGGTAAAAGGTGCACAACTGCAAACAGATTAATAAACTGTTGGAAATAGCAACTTTCCAAACTTTCATTATTTGTTTTTAATGTATATATTTGACAACCTGTATTGTATTGTATTTATTTATTTACAACATTTATATGTCTCCCTTCTCACCCTGAAGGGGACTCAGAGCTGCATACAAGATATATATATATATACATACATACATACATACATATATATACATATATATACACACACACATACACACACACACACATTATATTATATTATATATTACTATATTGTACTATACCATTATATTGTAATATTATTAGTAATATTACAAAAAAGTGGGTCCTTAATATTGGCTTAAGGTCAGTGTATATATTGATTTGACAGTTCAAATGAACTTTATGGTGTGGGAGGAGCTACAGAAGTGATTGTACTGAGCATGCTCAGACTCAAGACTCCATTTTGTTATCAGCATGCTTTTGGACTTCAATGAAAGCAGTCTGCATTTTGGACTTATGCACGAATACTTTCCAAAATGTTTGCTCTGAGAAGCAGTGAGTACAGTTATACAGTTTAGGCTATTATAAGATGTACTTTGGACTGTGGACCATCAATTAAGAATGATGCCCTGTGTTCTCAACACAGAGAAACTACATTCTATCTATAACTGAACTTTAATATGAAATGTGCCTGTTTGCTGAATTAATACAAGATGTTTGTGAGTAAACAAGGTATGGTACTTTTAAAAAAGAACACTTTGTTTTTTTTGTCTCTGAATGCCTATTTTTACACTAAGAGTTTTCAAGGGAGAGTATATATTTTGGTGAACTGCAACTGCAATTTCAACTTCAAAGAAATATTTTCAAAACTCTGCTCGCTAAGTATATGTTTTTTTGTGCAATGGCATGCCTTTGTCCCTGGCAGTTCAAAGACATGGTTTATCAGATTAACAGCTGATTTACTTGTGTGCCATTACATGAATGCTTCTGAAGATCACCTTTTCAAAGAGTTCACTTCTAACAAGGTCATGCCTTTTCTTGACTAGTGTTTTTCAAAAGGTGGTCTCCAGCTGTTCATGGAGATTCGCATTTGCCAAAAGGATCTGACATCATTTTTCCTTTTCAAAAAGTTTATGAATGTCATTTTTTCAAACTAAACTGATAGGACTAATTAAACACAGGTTCTTGAGGGCCCGCTTTCAGTTCTCCAGATGTGTGCCATTCTGTGTCTTGCTGCTAGACTCCCGGGAAATTCCCGTCAACAAGGTGGGTCCTTAATATTGTCTTAAGGTCAGTGTTTTCCAGTTGGGCTCAGGTATGATTCACCATCTAGCCCAAGATTACACTCGCAGCTGGCTCACAGTTACTAAAAATGTCTATTCTATCAGCCTTCTTCACCCCTCTTATCTCATCTGGATTCTGACATGGCACTGAAAACTATTCAACAAAGACTATGGGACATTGCCTTCTGTAAGTTGTATTCTCGCTTATATGTTTCTTGTTCCCCAAGCGCCCTGACTATACACTAGGCTGGGCCTCTTTGTGGAGCAAATTATCTTAACAACTAGACTGTGGCCAAATATCACTGCCTGTTCTCCAAGGCAAGGTGCAATGTGTCCCCATCTAAAGTGCTTCACAGTAGATTTGTGGGAGTCCATACAATGCAAGACTTTGTCCATGCAATAACCAGGATGATGAATGTATGCATCACATCTTATTGTCCTGCAATTTTGACAAACAGGCTCAGCTACATATTATTAACCCACTACTCCACCTTAAGCCCCCACCTTAGCAACCTTCAAGAAAAATCTGAAAACTTGGCTGTTCCAACGTGCCTTCGGAGTGACTATCTATCCCATCTCTGTCTGTTCCATCATCCATAGTGGTGCTTTTATGACGCACTTCTCCCATCCTAAACTGAAATCCTACCTCACTGTTTATCTTTTTTTAGGGTCCCCTCAATCACATAAATTTTATTCCTGCCTCATCCAGGGTTTTATCATTTTACCTTGTCCTCTTGGTCTGCCCATTCTGTTTGATTTTATATTGTGTTAATTAATTATTTTATTTATTTACGACATTTATATGCCGCCCTTCTCACCCCCGAAGGGGACTCGGAGTGGCTTACAAAATATATCCACATACAGTATATTATATTACTAGCATAGTACAATATCAGTATTATAAATTACTATATTGTACTGTACCATTATATTGTAATATTATTAGTAATATTACATGTAATATGAAATATATAATATATATATATACAATATATTTTATTAGCATAGTACAATATCAGTATTATATATTACTATATTGTACTATACCATTATACTGTAATATTATTAGTAATATTACATGTAATATAAAATATATAATTATAATTTGCTTTATTTTATTATTTTATTATTTATTTTATTATTAATTTGCTTTATTTATGTTATCTTGCACTGTATGTATTTTATTCTGAGGCAAATTATGTTGTTTGTAGTTTGTATTTTATTTTTGCTGTATGGTATCTTTGGGCTGGCCCTCATGTTAGCTGGCCCGGGTCCCCTTTGGGGAGATGGTGGTGGAGTATAAATAAAGTTTATTATTATTATTATTATTATTATTATTATTATTATTATTATTATTATTATCAGAAGCCTACCTGGAAAATCAGGCAACTTCCATGTAAAGTTTTTACTAGTTGACCACTTCCCTCATGTGACCTTGGCTGTTGCCCAAATTTCTCTGAGGTAGCCAGGAAAAGACAACTTCCTGTATTAGACTAGTCCTGCATCTATTTGCAGTGTTCTTACCCTTGTTCATGTGCATCTTGTATTGCGCATCCCACATAAAGGTAAATCATCAACATTAAAAATCCCAGGTCCCACCCAAATGCTCAGCTGCCTTCTGAGGCATTTCAAGAAAACAATGGCTGAAATGAAAGCTGGGCAGCATCAACTGGGATTCCAGTTTCAAAATATCACTTGTCAACCACCCTAGGGAAACATGAAAGTGCAAGTAGGTGGTAAACATACCCCTGTCACAATCGGAGGCTTCTGAGCGGGGAACAGGCGACTTCAAGGACCCAGCAACTGGTGCCTTCTCTCCTCCTCCTCCTCCTCTAATGTTTTCCTTGGTCTTCATATCCTTCATTACATCTCGCTCTCGGGATGGTTCCTTCTCTCTTTCCTTTTCTATTGTTGATTTTGACTCGATGTTGGTCACGATTATCTTGGACTTCTCGTCCTTCGACAACTTCTCTTCTCTCTTTGCTTTTTCCTTCTCTTTGTCCGACTTCGGCGTCTTTTCCTTGATATCTCTTGCTTTATCTTCTTTGTTTGCCCGCTCTTCCTTTGGCTTTTCTTTCCCATCTTTCCCAAGCATTTTGGCCTCAGGAGTGGCAGTTGGCGCCTTCTCCTTTTTCTCCTTCTCTTTTTCCTTCCCACATTTTTCTTTGTCCTCCTTTTCTTTTACAACTTTGCTATTTTCAAATAAAAAGAACCAAATATGAGTAAAATATTTTTTATTTATTTGCGACATTTATATGTCGCCCTTCTTACCCCAAAGGGGACTCAGAGCAGCTTACAAGATATATAAACATACAGTATATTATAGTATTAGCATAGCACAATATCAGCATTATATATTACTAAATTGTACTATACCAATATATTGTAATACTAGCCGCCCCATGCCACACATTGCTGTGGCCCAGTCTGTGTATATGTTTTTTTTTGTGTGTGTATATTTGTGTATATGTGTATACACAAATTTTTGCGCATGCGTTGTATATATATATATATGCATACAGTATATTATATTATTAGCATAGTACAATATCAGTATTAAATATTACTATATTGTACTATACCATTATATTGTAGTATTATTAGTAATATTACATGTAATAGAAATATTTGTTTGTTTACAACATTTATATATGTGGTTTTGCGCATGCGTTGTAATGTATTTTTTTATTTCTTGGCTTTTTAAGTCTCTTCCACTGTGTTTTTCAGGGTTTTTTATGAGTGATGGTCACTCGTTGGCCTGATAGGTGTCTTGTGTCCAAATTTGGTGTCAATTTGTCCAGTGGTTTTTGAGTTATGTTAATCCCACAAACGAACATTACATTTTTATTTATATAGATTATCAGTAATATTATATGTAATATAACATATTAATTATAATATCATATTATTATTAGTATTATATTGTATTACATTATAATATTATCAATATTATATGTATATATATTATATTATATTATATTATATTATATTATATTAGCCGTCCCCTGCCACGCATTGCTGTGGCCCAGTCTGTGTATATGTATGTTTTGTGTGTATATATATGTGTGTATGTGTGTGTATATATTTGTGTATATGTGTATATATGTGGTTTTGCACATGCGTTGTAATGTAATGTAATTTTTTTTTTGGTTCTTTAAGTCCCTTCTGCTGTGTTTTTCAGGGTTTTATGAGTGATGGTCACTCGTTGGCCTGAGAGGTGTCTTGTGTCCAAATTTGGTGGCAATTCGTCCAGTGGTTTTTGAGTTATACTAATCCCACAAATGAACATTACATTTTTATTTATATAGATTATCAGTAATATTACATGTAACAGAAAATATTAATTATAATATCATATTATTATTAGTATTATATTGTATTACATTATAATATTATAAATATTATATGTATATATATTATATTATATTATATTATATTATATTATATTATTAGCATAGCACAGGAGACAGATGGAACTGTCCCCTGGCCCCCTTTCTCTTCACTCTTGCGCAGAGCGGCAGTTGGTGCTGGGAGGAGGGAGGGGTCCCCAACTGATGACAAATATGTACCATTAACCCTTCCAGTCTTACAAATTTTGCTTATAAATTGCCAATGTCTTCTGAATCAAGAATCAGTGTAAAGAAAGGCCTTCCTTATTTGGATTCATAAGACATAAACTGTACCAAAAAGAGAGCAATCCTTGGAATTGTGTTCTCATATAAGTGACTAAATAAACATCCCAATATAATGATCACTGTAAAGAGAAAACTTTGGCAGGTGCTCACCTATTTGAAGAACTGTTTCCATTGCTTGTGGTCACCTTTGGAGTTGTACTGGCAGCCTTATTGATCACTTTGACAGCACCCTGAGATTTCTCTTTTAATTTATCTGTTAAAGAAAAATAAGCAACGGCTAAGCAGAATATAAAGATTTTGTAAACAAGGGAATGTTGTTAAATATCCCATTGAATTAATTATTGTTTTGCTGGGAAATGACACAGATGAAGATGGTATTTGCCAATAATTGAAAATTCCAGTGTTGGCATGAAGAATAAACTCTGCAAAGGTATAGCCAAGAGTAACAGGATTATTTATATCACAATCCTGTGTGGCTATTCATCAGTGAGCCCTCCTGAGTTCAGCAGGACTCAAGTAGATGTGGGCAGGTCTGCAGCCTCAATCTCATCTTGTCACTGTAACAAGCTGCTCCCTCCTCCCTACGACTTCCCCTCACATCTGTATCACATCATGTCTCCTCTCAGCCTTCTCTTCTGCAGGCTAAACATGCCTCCGAATAAAGAATCCCCCCAGGCAGCAATCAGCCAGGCTTCGAAGCTGAGAGGCCATTCAATGCTAATCAAGATGGCCAATTGCAACAGTCACACTTGCCTCAAGCAGACAAGAGTGTTTTTTTTTTTTTATATCCAATCCTGGACATTTAAAAGATATATAAACCTCACTTGCCTAGTTTCTAATTGGTCACCTTGATTAGCATTGAATAACCTTGCAGCTTGAAAGCCTGGCTGCTTCCTGCCTGGGGGAATCGTTTCTTGAGTGGTATAAGGTCAGGAAATACTCAGAAAAAAGGGAAATTCCAGACAGGAAACAATCAGGGCCAGTTAACACCTCCCAACAAAGGATTCCCCCAGGCAGGAAGTAGCCAGGTTGTGAAGCTGCAAGGTCATTCAATGCAAAACAAGTTTAACACTATTAATGTTAAATAATTTTACATATATTGCAATACTTAAGTTGAAACCCACATGTTTCTGGATTTCAATGGCTTCTCTGTATTGTCTGACAAAGTGGTTGTTAGAGTGATCTAGCATACCTGTGTTCTCAAATAATAAGCTGTGTCCAGCATATTACCTCCCAACAAAGGATTCCCCCCAGGCAGGAAGCAGCCAGGCCTTGAAGCTGAAAGGCTATTCAACGCTAATCAAGGTGGCCAATTGCAATATTCACACCTGCCTCAAAGAGACAAGAGTTCTTTCTCCACCCTGGAAATTATTCCACGGGTATATAAACCCCACTTGTCTAGTTTCCAACAGACCTCACAACCTCTGAGGATGCCTGCCATAGATGTGGGTGAAACGTCAGGCGAGAATGCTTCTGGAACATGGCCAGAAAGCCCTAAAAACTCTCAGCAACCCCGTGATTCTGGCTATAAAAGCCTTTGACAACACATCTGCTTTCATGATTAGTTTTATGCAATGCTTTTTTTTTCATTATTTGGCAACTGAGCCTGTTGAAAAGTTTAGTTACAAGTCGTAAGATTTAGCAACCTGGAGAAATGCATGCCTCAATGAGTATGAAAAGGATAGCATGGCCCTACTTGGATGATACATATATATATCTATATCCCCGGCTGCCGTACCCGTCTCCTCAGCAGTGCTTTCTTCCAGCTTAGCTGCATTGGTTGTGAGCGCCGAAGGGGGCAGCCCGGCTCCTCCTCCTCCTCCCGGCCCGTTTTGCACCGCGGTCGGCACTGTGTTCCTGGTGGGCGGGTCCTTGTGGTGGAAATCGTTTTCAGGGACCATGCAATGCTTTCTACTTTTCAGCTGCCCAGAATAGCTGAAAGTCGCAACGAGTGTTAAATACGCACGGAACAAACAAAACAACAAGCAAAGAGAGAAACTTGGGAGAGCTGCTTGGAGAGACCAGTGTGGGAACTAGAGACAGCTGAACACTTTCCCAACACACCCCATTCTTCAACCCGCTCACAAGATTTTTACCCAAAACCTCTGCCACCAAAAAGACCTTTGCCTCTATTCTGAAAAAAAAATTGGCGAAAGGAATCGGTCGAATGAGATACATTACAGGCTTTTAAAGATTTTCTGTAACACAGAAGGGAGATTAGCATTAAGCAATAAGAGATATGACATAGCAGCAGCGATTCTCTGTTGAACTGTTTGCATTCCAGTTGGCAGCTATAAAAGCAAATGCCCAAGTTTATTTTTCATTCTTCCTTCCAAATCGTTTCCCTTTTGGGTCATGTCTACAGTCAGAGATTGTTTTGCTGATGATCGCTGTAAAATACTTCAAATGAAATACCGTATATACTCTAGTATAAGCAAAAAAATTCAGCCCTTTTTAAAGGCTGAAAAAGCCCCCATCTGCTTATACTCAAGTGAAAGTTACTTATTTTTTTTGTTTTTATTATTTTTATTACATTTATTAATTTACTCTATTTTTATTATTACATTTACATTCTTTTCTTCTATTGTTATTTTATTACATGTATTATTTTACTCTATTTATTATCATTATTGTTATTACATTTATTATTTTACTGCATTTATTATTTTACTATATTTATTATTACTGCACTTACTGTATATACTCGAATATAAGCCTAGTTTTTCAGCCCTTTTTTTAGGCTGAAAAAGTCCCCCGCGGCTTATATCTGAGTCAAGGTTATTTATTATTTTACTCTTATTCTTATTCTTATTACATTTATTATTTTACTCACTTTATTATTGCTGGAAGGATACATAAGTACATTTACATTGAAGAAGGTTAGAATAATGATTTAATCAGAGTTGGGCAGTCTAGAGTATAGAGTTAAATACTGTATATACTTGAGTATAAGCCTAGTTTTTCAGCCCTTTTTTTAGGCTGAAAAAGTCCCCCTCGGCTTATACTCGAGTCAAGGTTATTTATTATTTTACTATATTATTATTATTATTTTCATTTCATTTATTATTTTATTCTATTTATTATTTATATTTATTATTCTATTTATTATTATTACATTTATCATTTTACTCTATTATTATACATTATTATACATTTATTATTTTACTGTATAATTGTTATTGCTACATTCATTATTTTACTCTTTTTATTATTATTATTGTTATTATTACGTTTGTTATGTTGCTCTCTTTATTATTATTATTTATTATTATTGGAAGGATACGTAAACACATTTACATTGAAGAAGGTAAATAATCATTTAATCAGAGTTGGGTCTGAAATTACCATATTTGTAAATATTCAAAAATATATAACCTACTGATTCCTCAATTAATGTAATTTAATTGGCATCTATTTTTATTTTACAATTTTCCAGTAGTTGCTGCATTTCCCACACTCGGCTTATACTCGAGTCAATCTGTTTTCTCAGTTTTTTGTGGTAAAATTAGTTGCCTCGGCTTATATTCGGGTCGGCTTATACTCGAGTATATATGCTGTTATTTTACTATTATTATTATATTATTTTGCTATTTATTATTATTACATTTACATTGTTTTACTCAATTATTATTACATGTTTTATTTTACTCTGTTATTACATTTATTATTTTACTCTATTATAATTATTATTAAATTTACATTATTTTACTCTATTATTATTTTATTACATTTATTATTTTTCTCTATTTGTTATTATTACACAATTATTATTATTATTAATAATAATAATTATTATTATTATTATACTCTACTATTATTATTTTAAACACAACAAGATGAGTCCACAGCAAACAAGATCACTCTGCTGGCTGTTGTATTGGATCACATGTCGGACACTTCCCAAATTATTATTATTATTATTATTATTATTATTATTATTATTGTTATTATTATTATTACATTTATTATTTACTAATTTATTATTTACTATTATTTATTATTTCCTATCATCACCATGTCATCATCTACTTACAACAGAATCTCAAAACATTTGGATAACTGATAAAAATCCAAAAAGACCACTGCCAAATACTGTCAGGAACGGGACATGTTACTCTACCATTTTTTATAAAAATGCCTGTAAAATTTTTGAATTTTTTGCGTATAATTTAGCTATGCTGTTAAAAGACGTGGTTGTTACCCCATTGCTAATGCATATAGGTCAGGCCTCTTTTCCTTTTCTTCTTGGTAGATTTTGTGGACTCTCCTTTCCAGCGCTTGGCCCAGATTCACCACTTTGGGATACCAGGGTAAGATTTTGGTCAGCACGATCAGGATATTTCGGATGTGCGTATATTCACCCGTTTCCAGGCAGTGCACTGATGCCTAGAAACATCAAGGAAAAGGTGCCATCAAAAGGCTTTCAAGAGCACTGCAAAAAAGCCTCTGCCTTTTCTCAGTGTTTCTAGGTTACCTTTGTCAGTTTATAATGCCACTTGTGTACGACGTGCCGGAAATTCTCATAATCCAATTGGTCAGCTTTGTTTCCGCCATCAAAACCAGTTGCCCGTAATATAGTGAGGAACCCTGGATAGTTGCCACATTCCTGTAGGTAGACAAAGATTTAAAAATCCCTTAATTATTATTCAAGAAGCAGGTAAAGTGGGATATCTATCTATCTATCTATCTATCTATCTATCTATCTATCTATCTGTCTGTCTGTCTGTTATTTATTTATGACAATTATATGCTGCCCTTCCCAACCCGAAAGGGCTCAGAATACACACACGCACACACACACACGCACATATACACACACACATACAATATATTATATTATTAGAATAGTACAATATCCGTATTAAATATTACTATATTGTACTGTACCATTATATTTGTGGTAATATTACATGCAATATAAATATATAATTATAATATATTATTAGTAGTAGTATTATATTGCATTACATTATAATATTATACATATATATATATATATATATATATATATATATAATTATATATATATAATTATGAATTTAATGGAAAGCTAGGATTTTGCAGAGGAACAAGCCAACTTGCTAGTGAAAATCAGGATCATGTAGTTATGCTAATTCATAGAATCCTAGAGTTGGAAGAGACCTGGTGGGCCATCCAGTCCAACCCCATTCTGCCAAGAAGCAGGAAAATCAAATTTAAAGCATCCCTGACAGATGGCCATCCGGCCTCTGCTTCAAAGCCTCCAAAGAAGGAGCCTCCACCACACTCTGAGGCAGAGAGTTCTACCTATGAACAGCTCTCACTGTCAGGAAATTCTTCATGTTCAGGTGGAATCTCCTTCCTTTCTTGTAGTTTGAAGCCATTGATCCATTGCGTCCTAGTCTCCAAGGCAGCAGAAAACAAGCTTTCTCCCTCCTCCCTATGACTTCCCCTCACCTCTTGACACCTGGCCCTAACCATGTGTCCTCTCAGCCTTCTCTTCTTCAGGTTAAACATGCCCAGCTCTTCAAGCTGTTCCTCATAGGGATTGTTCTCCAGACCCTTGATCCTTTGAGTTACCCTCTTCCTCTGGACACATTCCAGCTTAAGAGCCCACATCCCCCTTTCAATTGTGGTGCCCAGAACTGGACACAGTGTGACTCCAGGTAAAGTGGTCTGACCAAGGTGGAATAGAGCATGTGGAGCATGATTTCCCTGGATCTAGGCATTAGACTCCTATTGATGCAGGCCAAAATCCCACTGGCTTTTTGAGCTGCCGCATCACATTCCTGCCTCATGTTCCCCTTCCCCTCCCCAAGAGGACTCCAAGATCTTTTCCACACGTCCTGCTGCCGAGCCAGGCATCGTCCTCCATTCTGTCTCTTCTATTTATTTATTTCTTTAGGACATTTGTATCCCGTCCTTCTCAACCCCCGAAGGGGGAGTCAGGGCAGCTTACAATTGGCAGTCATTAGATGCCGACAAAGAAACAGTTAGAACACAATAATTCACATAATTCACATAAACAAGTCAACAGCAATAAAAATATATTAAAAAAGCAATAAAATACATTTAAAATATTGACCCTTAAAATATTAACACAACCAAGTCTGAGTCCGCAAATCCAAATCAAGTCAAACCTTTGCATTTCCTTTTTTTCTGCCTAAGTGGAGTCTCTTGCATTTGTCCCCATTGAACTTCATTTTGTTCAACCATCAACATGGTTAAATTAATATTGAGGGTAAAAAAAAAAACACATACACACCCCTTAATATTTTTTCCCTGGGGCACAAATTGCATTTTTGATTTTCTTTAAAAACAGGAAATGGCAACACTTTGTGCTTGGACTGATTCACACAAATGGAGGGCCAATCCAAAATGATATTTAGGGTGTTTCTACACAAGAGATAAATAGATAGATTTTCTTCCACCAGGAGAAATAGGAAAACAGTTTCAAGTAGATTTCTGTATTAGTACTAGAATTTCCATATTTTCTGACTCAGAGTACCCATCTTCAGTATGATAATATCAAGTTGCTGTTATCACAGTTGTCACAACGGTTCCGATTCACCTAATATTACTTTAACCTGTTTTAGAGTTAATCTTCTGGATATCCCACCTACCTTTTCGTATATGGCCCTATCGCTATGCCATCGAGTTACAGTTTCGAGCATGCAGCACAGGAAGCGGCCGTAGCGACTGGCTTCGTTTTCCGTGCAGCTCGCGACTGTATAGATGATATCAGAAAATACCTGCAAGACATTTTCAAAGGTTACGTGAGCAGTAAAAATGCACTATTATGTGATAAGGACTGAGTCATACTTTTAAGGCTACACAGTAGTCGTCTTCCACAAATATACCGAAGATAGCTATGCAAAATAAATTGGATTGAGTTTATGTTATTTTATGTTTTGCTTTGATTGTCTATTTGTTTTTGGGCATTGAATGTTTGCCATTTTGTTATTTTTTTTCCCAAACCACCTCCTGGGAGAGAGAGCGGGTTATAAATAAATAATAATAATAATAATAATAATTATTATTATTATTATTATTATTATAGCTTAAAATAAATAATAAATAAAGAGTCCCTTCCTGCAGTTTGAGGCTTCTTTTCCTGCATTAGCTTGAGCTCAAAATCCCAGAACATTACCATTTAAGACAATCAAATAATCCAAAAATTGATAATTATATTGAAAACTTACAATCTCATTTTAATTATTATCCTATTCAGTGGCTACTTTCTCATTTCCACAAGCATTTTTAAACTCCCAGGCAGGCATTCAAATTACAAATTTGTAGGTGTGTTTGCTATGAATTAATTAAGAAGAGACATCCATCAATGCTTCCAAAAGTGCCAGAACAAAACAGGGCATCAAACCCAACAACTACTTACTCTGTCATAGCAAAGCAGTGTGGAAAAATTGGGCGTTTTCTGCTGGTGCACCAATTCCACAAAGCGGGCACAATAAACAGCGTCGATGGCAGAAAAAATACACCGAGGAAATATACATAACTGTAGAAATTTGGTGATGGTCTCGTTTTTTGTAGACTCTAATAAATATAAAACAAAAGAAAACAAGGAAAAATAAATCATTGTCTGATACCAGATGGAAGTTTTTAAATCAATACCTTTCCCTATTGGAATGAAGGATGGGAGGAAAAGAAATTCCAGGGTATATGACAGAGCTCTCAACCACAGCAAAATGGAAGTAATTCACACGTTTTAGAAAGAGCATTGAGAGAGACAGAAGACAAAGTGAGTCAAAAGTTTAACTGAAGCACCAAACAGAAGGGAAGAAGTCCACCGAACTTACTTGCAAGAAGCCAATTATCCTTTTCCAGTTTTAGCCTTTGCAGCACCCTTTGCACATGCTCCGACTGCTTCTTTTCTTCTTCCAGAAGTTTATCCTGAAGCGCCGTACAACGTTCTTTCTCTTTCTTCTTTTTATTCGGAGGCTACAAAAAGAAATGTGTTTAGATTTTACACTGAGCACAGAAACCTACAGAGGAGAGATGAGGAACCTGATAGTAATGGCAATTGGGCTCAGCGATGAGTCCATTTCCAATGCAGTTCACATATAACTGTTATGCATTTTTGGACAGGAGTCTCCACAAAGGAGACTCAAAGGGAATGGGATCTGCAATTTATTTATTTATTTATTTACAGCTTTAATATTCCGTCCTTCTCCTCGCCCCGCAGGGGACTCAGGGCAGATTACAGTGTACACATATATGGCAAACATTCAATGCCAATTTTTGACATACAAACATATACAGACAGACATAGACAGAGGCTATTAACTTTTTCTGGCTGCCAGGGGAGCTGTCGCTTTCCTCGTCCATCTGCGACACTGATGAAGCACTTCCGCATTCCCCGCATGCTTCCCCGCTGGAATGCTTTGCTGGAGTCTTCTTTATGGCCTCATAAATCAGTTAATTTAGCCTCCCCACACTTTAAGGTGGTACCTTATTTTCCTACTTGACAGATGCAACTGTCTTTCGGGTTGCAAAGGTCGAGAACAGGCTACACACAATTGGTTGGAAACCCACTCCAACCCGGGCTGGCTTCGAACTCATGACCTTTTGGTCAGAGTGATCTTAATGCAGCTGACACTCAGCCAGCTGCACCACAATCACAATACTACTACTACTACTACTAATAATAATAATAATAATGCAAAGACTCTGGCACAAGCCAGTCAAGGTGGTCCCAGTGGTGATCGGCACACTGGGTGCAGTGTCTAAAGACCTTGGCCTGCACTTAAACACAATCAGCGCTGACAAAATTACCATCTGCCAGCTGCAGAAGGCCACCTTACTGGGATCTGCATGCATTATTCACTGATACATCACATAGTCATCTTGTTGAGTTCCAAATAATAATAATAATAATAATAATAATAATAATAATAATAATAATAACTGGGTGCTGTGCCAAAAGATCTCAGCTGGCATTTGGAAACAATAAACATTGACAAAATCGCAATCTGTCCTTTTTTTATAAGCTCTTTGTTCTTCTACCTGTCATCTTAGCCACTCACTCTTTCACTATAGAACAGTGGTTCTCAACCTGGGGTCCCCAGATGTTTTTGGCCTTCAACTCCCAGAAATCCTAATAGCTGGTAAGCTGGCTGGGATTTCTGGGAGTTGTAGGCCAAAAACATCTGGGGACACAAGGGTGAGAACCACTGCTATAGAAGATTTTTTTTGTTTTATTTCATTTTATTATATACTGAAAATCACCTTAGATACACAACTCTGTAACACTCCCCCCCCCGGCCCCCCACCCTCTATTCTCAATAAAATATTATGCAAAAGGCTACCTTGCTTGGATCTGCGCGCATCATTTGAAAATACATCACACAGTCCTAGATGCTTGGGAAATGTTTGACGTGTGGTTTTGTGATACGAAATCCAGCATATAGATCTCATTTGCTGTGACATACTGTGTTTTTGTGTCAGTAAAATAATAATAATTATTATTTATTAATATTCCACCCTTTTCCCTGAGGGGTCTCAGAGCGGAGTATAAACAAAGTTACTGCAATTTAACAAACCTTTTTCCATGTTTTTATGACAGAACCAATGAAGAAATGACATTTATAACCCAGGAACAAAAATCATTGTATTATTTGACTTAGACCTAAAATCTGAATGATCATTATTACTTTACTTTGTCTCACACAGGCATTTCAAGAGCTGACTGTTGTTGCTGTATAAAGCAAATAAGCCAATGAAAAGAGAGTAAACAAACATTAAACACTCGTGACATTTCTTCAAAGTGCGAGACATACCATTTCCTGATTGTCATCAATAGCTTTCATCTGGACTCGGAGTTTGTTGACTTCCCGTTCATAGCTAGTGTGGGGCACGGCCAGATCGTACATGGTGAGCGACCAGAACGTCGCGTAGAACTGAGGGCTGATATCGTCCCAGACCTTTGGGAGGTGCAAGGAGATCACGGCGTCATGGACCGGAGCCATCACAAGCTCACAAGACGTAATATACTTGTGAACCTTTTGCTGCTGCTTGTTCCCCTTCTCGGCTTTTTTCAGTTCATCGTATTTTGACTGAGGAAAAAAGAACACACACAAAGTCATGTTATTATCCATTTCTCACACTGAAAAGCACATCTCTATTCAATACAATATGGTATATTTTGATTCAAAATGGCCAAACGAAAGAACATTAACATTAGAAACAAACAAGGATTTGGAGAGAAACAGATTTGATGACCATGAAAACTGTCTGTACCGTATCTCTAGAATGCAAGTCCACTGCTGTACTCACGGAAATATGGTGCGCATACATGGGCCTCGAGAGGAAAAACGCAGCATCGTGAGGGGTGTGGAACTCATTGCAGAGAACGTCGATAGAAGGCACTCGCTTAATATAATCCTCTGTGCTCAAATTGGATGCTAAAAACCCACCGAACTGGACCAACGTGTCATGGCACTGAATCGAAAAATACAATCCCATTAGGAAGGGCATTCCAGGATCAGGGGAATCAGCTTGACTTCATTTTAAAAATGCAATTTCTAATATATACATAACATTTTTAAAAAAAATCAGGAAGAGAGATGACAGATCACTAACATTTATAACGGCCAAAATGAAGATGGTCTCCTCAGTGTGAAATTAATATTGACCTTTGTGTTTAACGTTTATGACGGCTTCAGAAATGACATTGCAGCAACAACGACAAAACACGATCTCTTCGTTCATCTGGAGAGGCCCTGCTAACGATCCCACCTGCATCGCAAGCGCGATTGGTGYGAACYAGGGARAGGGCCTTCTCGGTGGTGGCCRCATGACTCTGGAACTCCCTCCCCAAGGACATCAGGCAAGCCCCAACATTGGCAGGCTTAAGAAGGAGCTTGAAAACATGGATGTTCCAGTCTGCCTTCCCAGATTAAGGAATCCCAAGCAGGACAACGAGTGACCATCACTCATAAAAACACTGAAAAACACAGCAGAAGAGACAACCCCCCCCCCCAAAATACATTACAACGCATGCGCAAAACCACACACACACACACATATATCTGTGTGTGTGTGTGTCCATGTGCAAACACACACACACACACATACGCAAATAAATATAAATACAAAACACAGACTGGGCCACAGCAATGTGTGGCAGGGGACAGCTAGTAAATAAATAAATATATGAACWTTGACAGATAGATTCCCCYAACATTGCAAAAGATTTTAGAYAACTTGTGGCCRTSCCAAAGTTTGGGGCATCAATGCCCAGAAGCCCCTATTSCCAGCTTGTCCAATGGCCAGGYATTCAGGGAGCTGAAGTCCAAAACACTTGGAGGGCKKCAYGTTTGACACCACAGTTTGAGTCTTAAACCAATGTTWACAGGATCCTTTCTACGTGCCTGATCATAGAGCTTRCCCACCAGCTTCAAGTGCTTCTCCCCTCCTTCTTGAAAGATCACTCCYTTCCMCTGCTGAGCCATGAGGAGACACAGTGGGAGGGCGAGATCGTGGTCCAAAAGAGCATCTTTCAGCCTCTGGGAAGATTTCTTAGTGTTCCTGATCTGGCCAAAATATCCACCCTGGCAAAAAGAAATAAGGACAGCAGCTAAAACAAGGAGGTTCCAGCTTCCTTTCTCCTGATTTCCCTAGCAGGCTTGGAAGTAGGGCATTATTTTTGTGATGTTTTTCAACAGGGTTGGGAACATCATTGCTCTTGTATGGTCTCCAAGTCTTCCATACCATATATGCACACACTGATCTAGACTTCCACTATGTTATTTAAGCAACTATTAATATTTCCAGCATTTCACAGTTGGCAACACATGTAGTCCTTCTGTTTAGAAAAACACACCATGGGACCTCATCTATTTTCCTTTTCTGTTCAGTGAAAAACGTACCTCTGCTTTGAGTTGCTCTCCGCCTGTCATGGCTTCCAGCTGCTCCATTGTCATCTCTTCCGTGATTTCTATCCCAGCCATTTTTTGCACCACTTCTTTCAAAATAAGCAGGTCAAAACTATGGAGGGAAAGATTGACCCCAACATTTAAACAAACTGAATCGTTTACACTGTGGAGAGTAATTTACAGTGTCTCGTTCCTGCATTTGGTTGAAGGACAGCAAGATTGTTTTGTTCTTATCTATTTATTGATTTACCCTATTTGTATCCCACCCTTCTCACAACAGGATGCAATTTGATGCTATACACACATATATCAAACTAACAATTACAATAAAAAACAAACAATTAAAGCCAGAATTATTAAAATCAACTATTAAAATCATGCCAACCACAACATTATTTATTTATTTATGACAGTTATATGCTGCCCTTCTCACCCCGAAGGGGACTCAGAATGGCTTACAAGTTATATGTAAATACAATACATTATATTATTAGCATAGCACAATATTGGTCCCATACATTCTCATATTGTACTATAACACTGTACTGTAATATTATTAGTAATATTACAAGTAATATGAAATATATTATTATATTGTATTATTATTATAGTGCATTACATTATAATATTATTATCAATATTATATGTGTCTACAATATATTACATTATTAGCACAGCACAATATTACTATTATATATTACTATATTGTACTATATCACTATACTGTAATATTATTAGTAATATGAAATATATAATTATTACATTGTATTATTAGTATTATATTGCATTACATTATATTATTATCAATATTATATCTGTATATAATATATTATATTATTAGCACAGCACAGTATTAGTATTGTATATTACTATATTGTACTATAACACTATACTGTAATATTATTAGTAATATTATATGTAATATGAAATATATAATTATTATATTGTATTATTATTATTATTATTGTGCATTACATTATAATATTATCAATATTATACGTGTATACAATATATTATATTATTAGCACAGCAATTAGTATTATATATTACTATATTGAACTATATCACTATACTATGGTATTATTAGTAATATTACAAGTAATATACAATATATAACTCTTATATTGTATTATTAGTATTATATTGTATTATATTATAATATTATCATCAATATAACATTATTGTTATATTAACATAATCCAGGGCTGTTACATTTGTCAATCACATTGTTTCATAGTCACTGATCTCCCCACTTGTCAAAAGCCACATCTTAGGTTTTTTCCTGAAAGTCAGGAGAGAATGGGCTGATCTGATCTCTATGAGGAGGGAGTTCCATAGACAAGGGTCCACCACTGAGAAGGCCCTGTCTCTTGTCCCCACCAGTTGCCCCTGCAAAAGAGGTGGGACCGAGAGCAGGGCCTACCCAGAACACCTTAATCTCCTAGTTGGCTCATAGAGTGTTTGGACAGGTAAGCTGGATCAAAAACATTTAAGGCTTTATAGGTGAAAGCCAGTACTTTGAATTGTGCTCGGTAGCAGATGGGCAGCCAGTGGAGCTGAGATAGCAGGAGGGTTTTGTGCTCCCTGTACACCACTGCTGTGAGAAATCTGATTGCAGCCCATTGGACCACTTAAATTTTCCAAACAGTCTTCAAAGGCAACCCCACGTAGAGCATGTTGCAGTAGTCTATTCAGGATGTAACCAGAGCACAGACCACCGTGGCCAAGTCTAACTTCCCAAGGTCTGGACTATTGGGTATGGCGGATTACGCATCCTATTATTATTATTATTATTATTATTATTATTATTATTATTATGGGATTTAAAGCTCTTCAGCACAAAACCGGCATCATTTGTAAATACAACAGTAGCGTATTATCTACTTGCCTTTTACCAGCCTTTAGTTGGTTTGCCACATATTGAAGTAGACCAGCCAGTTCGATAGGATATTTGCGAAAAACAGCACCACAAAAACTAGCTAAACCTAAAGTAAACAGGGGAAAAGGCACAGTTCGTAATACCAGTGTGGCAAAATAAACCTGAACATTTGAAAACAAAGATTTCATTTGTTGTTAGGTATAACGTATAGTAAAGACTTCCCCTGACATTAAGTCCAGTTGTGTCAAACTCTGGGGATTAGTGTTCAATTCCATTTCTAAGCCGAAGAGCCGGCATTGTCCATAGACACCTCCAAGGTCATGTGGCCGGCATGACTACATGGGGTGCCGTTACCTTCCCACAGCAGCAATACCTATTGATCTCACATTTGCATGTTTTTGAACTGCTAGGTTGGCAGGAGCTGGGGCTGACAGCAGAAGCTCACATCGCTCTCTGGATTCGAACCTGCAATCTTTCGGTCAACAAGCTCAGCAGCTCAGGGGCTTAACCCACTGTGCCACCAGGGACTCCATAGGCATTATTTACATTTTATAAACGTCTAATTCAAAGTGTTTTTTCGGGTTTCTACCCACCCATCCCTTTATTTTGACCGTGGCCTTTTCCCAGACTGGGACTCAAGTCATCTTACAAAAGATAGAAAACCAATTTTCATTTTGCATTATATGCTATCAGGAAATTATGATGATGATGTTTTTTATTATGTTTATTTATAACCACACTTTTTCACTCCACAAGGAGACTCAAAGTGGCTAAGGTAGGATTCGTATGTTCTAACTCAGGGGTCCACAAACTTTTTACGCAGAGGTCACAGTCCCTCGAACTGTTGGAGGGCCGGATTATAATTTGAAAAAAAAAACATGAATGAATTCCTATGCACACTGCACATATCTTATTTGTAGTGCAAAAAAACTTAAAAACAATACAATAATTAAAATTAAGATCAATTTTAACAAATATAAACTTATTTCAATGGGAAGTGGGGGCCTGCTTTTGGCTGATGAGATAGGATTGTTGTTGTTGTTATTGTGTGCTTTCAAGTCATTTCAGACTTAGGTTGACCATGAGCGAGGGCCGGGTAAATGACCTTGGAGGGACATATCTGGCCCCCGGGGGGGCCTTAGTTTGAGGACCCCTGTTCTAACTGAAACATAATTTAAAGATCTTAACTGGCCCTATGTACATTTGTAGTAAAGGTAAAGTAAAGGTTTTCCCCTGACATTAAGTCCAGTCCTGTCTGACTCTGGGGGGTGGTGCTCATCTCCATTTCTAAGCAGAAGAACCGGCGTTGTCCACAGACACCTCCATGGTCATGTGGCCAGCATGACGGCATGGAGCACCCTTACCTTCCCACCAGAGTGGTACCTATTGATCTATCTACTAACCTTATCATTATTATTGTTGTTAAAAAAGGTATTCCCCTGACATTAAGTCCAGTCATGTCTGACTCTAGGGGTTGGTGCTCATCTCCATTTCTAAGTTGAAGAGCCGGCATTGTCCACAGACACCTCCATTGTCATGTGGCCAGCATGACAGCATGGAGCACCCTTACCTTCCCGCCAGAGTGGTACCTATTGATCTATCTACTAACCTTATTATTATTATTATTAAAAAAGGTAAAGGTTTTCCCCTGACATTAAGTCCAGTTGTGTCTGACTCTGGGCGGTGGTGCTCATCTCCATTTCTAAGGTGAAGGTATGGAGCACCCTATTGATCTATCTACTCACATTGCCATGTATTCGAGCTGCAAGGTTGGCAGAAGCTGGGGCTGACAGTGGAAGCTCACGCCGCTTTCCCCAGATTTGAACTTGCGACCTTTCGGTCAACAAACTCAGGAACTCAGCGGTTTAACTCACTGCGCCACCGGGGGCTCCTACATTTGTACATACATATATACATGCGTACGTAATATATTTATAGTCAATACTAACTTTGAAGCCAACTGGATATCGTAGTGTCGTCATGTTTCATCCTCTCTTTCTCTGGGTTAGCCAATGCTTCAATTATGCAATCTTTCGGAAGTTAAGCAAGATTCCCCTCTCACAAATGGTGATTTCATAGTTCTGCTCTACAAATATAACATTATAATTCATAATAACAACTTTATTAAAGGATACCAGAGCCAAAAACTAAAATGGCTTTGAACAGCTGACTTATCAGCCCTGGGTGGGGAAAAGGTCTATCTATAAGATCAAATTGCAGATCTGGCTGCAATAAAACATAAGATATCACAAATCCTAAAAAGGGAAACTCTGGCAAATGAAGGATGAATCAAGGAAGTAATTAAGTCTAGTTGTGTCTGACTCTGGGGAGTGGTGGTCATCTCCATTTCTAAACCACAGAGCCAGCATTGTCCATAGACGCCTCTAAGGTCATGCGGCCAGCATGACTGCATGGAGTGCCATTAGCTTCCCACGGAAGTGGTACCCATTGATCTACTCACATTTGCATGTTTTTGAACTGCTAGGTTGGCAGAAACTTGGGCTAACAGCGGGAGCTCACCCCGCTCCCTGGATTCAAACCGCCAACCTTTTGGTCAAGTAAGTATACAACTAAAAAAAACCAAAGCCGGTGAAAGGATACACGCCAAGACATCATAGTTCAGCGAAGTGAGGTATTTCAATGAATCCACAACTGGAGTTATTAAATTATCGTACTTCTGTATCTGAGACAAAATCTGAAAAGATCAAACGAAAGGGTGGTTTTCCAATTGTGCAACTTTGGCAAAAGTTCTTACATTCTTCTGTAATTTATTGCATTTTAAAATAAGGAATAAGACCGGGATGCTGTGGGTTTTCTGGGCTTCTATGGCCATGTTCCAGAAACATCCTCTCCTGACGTTTTGCCCACATCTATGGCAGGCATTTCCAGAGGTGGAGAAGTCTGTTGGAAACTAGGCAAGTGGGGATTATGTATCTGTGGAATGATGTCCGGGGTGGGAGAAAGAACTCTTGTCTGCTTGAGGCAAGTGTGAATGTTGCAACTGGCCACCTTGATTAGCATTGAATGGCTTTAAAGCTTCAAAGCCTCGTTGCTTCCTGCTTGGGAAATCCTTTGTTGGGAGGTGTTCGCTGGCCCCGATTAAGTCTTGTCTGGAATTTCCCTGCTTTGCAAGTGTTGCTCTTTATTTACTGTCCTGATTTCAGAGTTTTTTTAATACTGGTAGCCAGATTTTGTTCATTTTCATTCCCAATCTCTGAGGATGCCCACCATAGATGTGGGCAAAACGTCAGGAGAGAATGCTTCTCAATCACCAGACAGCCCAGAAAACTCACAGCAACCCAGTGATTCCAGCCATGGAAACCGTTGACAACACATATGGTTTTCAAATGTCAGTATCACATGGTAAAAACGATTTAAAACACACAACTTATTTTTTTGAACTCATTAACTTCTTTGTAATTAACACAACAGCCAAGATATATCAGTACTTATCTTGCCACATACATAGTCAAATAGAATGGTTGGGTTGCTGTGGCTCAGTTTCCCAATTTGTCTCCCAGAAGGCTTGACATTTTCCTTGGTTAAACGCCTAGAAGAGAACATCATAGATCAGGGCCTCTTTTCTGCATCTTTATACCCATCTTATTCACAGCTTTAGAATATATATATATATATATATATATATATATATATCCACATGGGTGTGCAAAACTGACCCTCTCCAAACAACATAGAACATTTTAGGCATTATTTATTTATTTATTTATTTAAAATATTTATATTCCGCCTTCTCACCCCGAAGGGGACTCAGGGCATATACACGGCAAACATTCAATGCCGGGGCACAGATTCACATACAATTCATAAACATTAAAAACATTGATCAAAATATTAAAATACACCATTTAAAACCGTCCTAGTCATCCGCGTCAAATCTAATTGGCCTGGAAATCTTTCCTATTGCCGCTTTAGCAATATATAGTAATATATAATATTAATATTGTGCTGTGCTAATAATATAACACATTATATACACATATAATATTGATAATATTATAATGTAATACAATACTAATATTAATACAATATAATAATTTTATATTTCATATTACATTTAATATTACTAATAATATTACACTATAGCAGTTTAGTACAATATAGTAATATATAATATTAATATTGTGCTATGCTAATAATACAATATACCTCTCCGAACGCATTCTCCCCTACGAACCATCAAGATTATTAAGATCATCTGGAGAGGCCCTGCTCTCGGTCCCACCGGCCTCGCAAGCGCGCCTGGTGGGGACGAGGGACAGGGCCTTCTCGGTGGTGGCCCCGCGACTCTGGAACTCTCTCCCACTGGAGGCCAGAACCGCCCCATCCATCCTAACATTTAGGAAACGGGTGAAGACGTGGCTGTGGAGTCAGGCCTTCGAGGAATGAGACAACACCATAGGACCCTGGATGGAAGTTGATGTAGATCCATCTTAATAGGACGACTGACCACTGTAGTTTTAGATATAGTGTTTTTAAAGTTGTTTTTGTAATTGTGATATATGATATTTTAATGAGTCTATATGTTTTTTATGGCTGGAAACCGGGCTGAGTCCCTCAATGAGGTTGAGAAGCTCGGTATAGAAAACTGTGAAATAAATAAATAAATAATACTGTATGTACATATAACTTGTAAGCTGCTCTGAGTCCCCTTCGGGGTGAGAAGGGCAGCATATGAATGTTGTAAATAATTAAATAATAAATAAATATTGCTTTGACTCCATTCTTAAAACAATAAAGCAGAACTCACTTCATAATATACTTGGCTCTATCAATTGTCTGAGCCTTAACTTTCACGAGCAGCGGGTGGCTATTGTAGGTTTCATTCTTCCACTGGCCATACAAACGGTACCTGTTGGAAAAGGGGAGGGAGACCAAAAAAACAAAAACAATTTAAATTATTTTATCAACACCTGTGAATTTTCCACATAAAGCTTTTCGCGGTTATTACTCACCGGTACTGGTAGGGAAATGTTTTAAACATCCCCCAGAGTTCTTCAGACATGCACGCATTGCAGTCCATCAGGGAAAGAGAAGGAAGCAAAACCTGGTCGGTAATACTCAGCAAACAACTGAATAATAGCTCCTGATGGGGGAAAAGGAAGAGAATGCTGAAAAGAATCCACGGTTGGATACTTCCTTGATTAGCGATACAAGTTCATAGCACAATACCAGTTATACAATAACTCTACTCTGTTGTAGGTCAGCCAGAGGCTCATGACTTAACTGAGGATTTAGAGAGGATTGTGGGATTTCCTGTGGGCTCTCAAGCCAGGGAAATTCAGATCTAGGAAATGATGTTTCTCTCTATGAGAAAACTGGCTTGGAAAGTGCAGGGCCTTAAGGCCAGGATGAGGAGTCAGAAATAGCAATAAAAGATAAGGAATCGAGTGGAGACAGAGGAATAAGGAGAATTCCCAGGAGGAACCACCTGAAGCGACAGAGAACAACAAAAGTCTCTGTTTACGGATCAGAGCTGAAAATATAGAGAATGCCAGGCTGTGAGATTACGTGGGAAAGTTAGAGAGAAAATTCATGGGAGACGTAATGCTTTCATGGGTGGCTATTAAACAAGTTGTTAAAGGGCATTTACCTGTTCTGATTTACATACAAATTCAACTTAAGAACAAACTTACAGAGCCTCCCTGGTTCATAACTTGGGGACTGCCTGCATTCCTCTGTTATTCCACCACCGTAAACAATTTAAAGAATACATTTGAAGACAACTCACCATTTTTTCTTTATCGTCCTGTTTGTTCCCATCAGTTTGGTACTGGAATAAAAAAGAATAGTAAAAGTTGAATTATTTCACACCAAGAATGTTACACTATGTAATGCAAGTTTTGTTCTCGGGTTATAAATGTCCTTTCCTAATTGGGTCTGTCGTAAAAATATGGAAAAAAGTATATTAAACTGCAAAGACTTTGCTTGTGTGGGACATCCTCCTACAGCACATTTTGCAATAGTTTTCCAATGAATATCTCATCATAGAGTCTCAACCCATTCAACATAGATTGTGGCAGACACAAAAACCAAGTTTCTAGAGTAGAACAATGACTTTCAAAGTAAGCACCACACAATTAAACAAGTAATAACACTTTCAAACCAGAAACGTAATTTTTAAAAATATATATTATTACATAGGGTGATCCAGAACAAGATATCATTTCAGTCATGCACATCCCAATTTGAGTTCGCAAAGTGGCTCATGACATTAAAAATATATATCAGATTTAATGCTCGAAACAACAAAATATTTGCTTTATGTAAACCTACAATAGATATTTACTATCTGTTCAAATATGTTATTTTGTTTTCAATAAAAAATACAAATCTTTGCTTTAAAGCTTGCTAACCTCTTTCATGAAAGCTTTTCCAAGACGCACCACTTTTGCAAACAATATGGGGTCATGTGAGAGATGTGGACCAAGATAACAAAGCATATTGAACACTTCTTTTCTTAAATCTTCAAAGTTTTCTACTTGTTTGAACGCTCTCTTATTCTGCAAAGCAGGGACCGGAGTCCCTTTGGCCCCTTTGGGGACTCCGACTCTGTTAAAGGGAAAAACAAAGTTTTGCAGTTAATTGTTGTTGTTGTTCATTCGTTCAGTCGAATAGCATCTATATATCAAAGAACGACATCTCAACAGTGCAATTCATATGCAAATTACACTTTTCAAAATACATTAGTTGGCTGTGAATTCCAAATATTCATAAATACAAAAGCTAAAGAGGTTTCAAGCAATTTGAAACATACCGACATACAGAAAGTACATCCAACAATATAGTACATGTAATCTCTCTCTATATAAATATATAGTGCATAATGAGTACCTTAAAAACAAAAGAACCAATGAACGAAATCACACCAAATTTGGAAACAAAATGTCTCACAACACAAGGATTGACCATCACTCAAAAAACTATGATTTTGTACTTGGGAGTTGTAGTTGCTGGGATTGATAGTTCACCTACAATCAAAGAGCATTCTGAACTCCATCAACGATGGAACTGAACCAAACTTGGCACACAGAACTCCCAACAGAAAATATTGGAAGGGTTTGGTGGGCATTGACCTTGAGTTTGGGAGTTGTAGTTCACCTACATCAAGAGAGCACTGTGGACTCAAACAATGATGGATCTGGACCAAACTTGGCACAAGAACTCAATACGTCCAAATATAAACACAGATGGAGTTTGGGGGGGGGGGGAAGACCTTTACATTTGGGAGTTGTAGTCACTGGGATTCACAGTTCACCTACAATCAAAGAGCATTCTGAACCCCATGAACAACCCCCATGACCAATTATTATTATTATTAAACTTTATTTGTACCCCGCTAGCATCTCCCGAAGGACTCAATGCGGCTTACACAGGCCGATGCCTCAACACACAACATAACAATACAATCTAAGCAAATCAAACAATTAAAAACAAAATAAAGCAAAATGAACAACAGGCAATGAACAATACACTAAAGCACAATAGAACTGGGCCGGGCCAGAGTAATGGGTTCAAGAATTAAAAGTGCTGATGTGACAGGAGGTGTATATGAGGCTTCTAGGGCAAGTGCAATGTGCAGCAATCATTGGTTCTAGTAAAGTGCTTATGGGACTTGGTAGTGGAAATTTCCTAATCTGGGAAGGCGCATCGGAAAAGCCAGGTCTTCAGGTTCTTTCTGAAGACTGCCAATGTAGGGGCCTGTCTAAGATCTATGGGGAGGGTGTTCCGGGGGGCCACCACAGAAAAGGCCCTGTCCCGCGTCCCCACCAAGCGCGCTTGCGACGCAGGCGGGATCACGAGCAGGGCCTCTCCAGATGACCGAAGTGAACGCGTGGGTTCGTAGATGGAAATGCGGTCACGCAGGTAGGCTGGTCCCAAACCGTTCAGGGCTTTGTAGGTAAGCACCTGCACCTTAAATTGGGCTCAGAATATAAACGGCAGCCAGTGGAGCTCCTTGAACAGGACCTCTCTCTGTAAGGGGCCCCAGAAAATACTTAAGGCCATCCAATCCAACTCCCTTCATCAGGGCAAGAAAATGTAATCAAAGCCCTCCTGACAAAGAGCCATCCAGCCATATAGATAGAAAGATATGATACACACACACACAGATATAGTATCATAGATTTGAAAGCGACTCCTAAAGAAGGACAATGATATGTTGCATGTTCCTGGGAGGGCAAACCAGTCAATCTCCACATCAACACTGACAAAGAAACAGCAAGAAATACTGTTTACCCACAAGCATAAAGACATTACATATATTAGAAACCAACACTTTCTCATTACTTTAATTTCCTGATCAACAGACTGGGCCACAGCAACACGTGGCAGGGGACAGCTAGTGTATTATATTTCCGAAACACATGGGCGCCATTTACCTGCGATAAAGTGGTTCAATCATCACATGAAGAAGCTGGCAAAGGGCAACAGCTATAGATTTGTGTGAAGTAGCATAAAACGGAGGCATTTGGTCCATGATGCTTTGGGCATGCTGCCAGTCGCCAATTTTTAGCATCGCTTCTAATAAACCCAGCTTCTGGTTATCAGGTGGCTGCAAAGATAAACAAGCAAGTAAGACAAAAGGGTCAAACAGGCAATCCTGGTGTCCACTCAATCTATATATATAAAAATGTAATGTTCGTTTGTGGGATTAACGTAACTCAAAAACCACTGGATGAACTGACACAAATTTTGGACACTACACCTCTAACAGACCAACGAGTGACCATTACTCATAAAACCCTCCCAAAAAAAATAGTGGAAAGGACTTAAAAACCCAAAAAAGCTAAACGACAATACAACGCGTGTGCGAAAACGACAACTGTATCTGCTAGACCAGGCCCTTTAGGGGAGGGGATGCTCGAAATGCACTGCTTCCAAGCTGCAAGCTGTCTTCTCCTTGGATTTCTTTGAGAGCATCCCAATCTGTACCTATTTCCTATTCCTGGACTGCAACTCCCAGCAAATGTGAGTAGATCAATAGGTACCGCTCTGGCGGGAAGGTAACGGTGCTCCATGCAATCATGCTGGCCACATGACCTTGGAGGCATCTATGGACAATGCCAGCTTTTCGGCTTAGAAATGTAAATAAGTACCACCACCCAGAATTGGACATGATTAGACTTAATGTCAAGAAGAAACCTTTATTTACCTCTCTCTATATATATATCTCTTAAGTTTTTGTTTTATATTTGACTGATAAAACAAAAACTTAAGTTGACTGACGATGTAACCTTTAACTGAGTAAAACAGTCGAAATTTGCTCAAGAGCATCATTCTGTCCCTCTTGTTTCCAGCTATTTTCAAGCCTGGGAAAGAAAAGTAACCACTAGAGATCAAGGAACGAATTAACAAATATGAAGTTGCTCCGATCCATAGAGAGGAGCCGCAGTTGTACCACCATCACTTGATAAAAATTATAAAAAGTACCTTTTCTGTTTTTTCTTCCTCCTTTTCCTTTTCCTTCTCTTTCTCTTCCGTCTTTTCGGAAGACAACACCACCATGGTAAGTTTCCTCACAATCTGTTTGGCTTCTCCAATTTCTCGCTTGTGGTCTTCTAGGATAGCATTATCTCCTGGAAGAAGCTACAGGGACAATTTGGAAATTCACTTACATTTATAGGCAAAGGATTTTCTTTTCTCTTTTTTTACAAAAAAAGCTAGTGATAAAAGACATCAGTTTTTATTTCTGGATAGAAATAACTTATAAAGAGAATCAATTTTTGATTAAGGCATTCCTGGCAAGAAACACTGGGTTGCTCTGAGTTTTCCGGGCTTATTTATTTATCGTGTCATCTGCAACCAGAACATTGTATTACATTTCTAACAGAACAAAACAGATTAAAAAAAACCCAAATTTTGCAAACTTGGTAGCTGATTAAATGTCCTTAGAGCAGTAGCTGGCGACTTAGAGTGCTTCTGGTGTTGCCGCAAGAAGGTCCACCATCGTGCATGTGGCAGGGCTCAGGGTGCATTGCAGCAGGTGGTCAGTGGTTTGCTCTTCTCCACACTCGCATGTCGTGGATTCCACTTTGTGGCCCCATTTCTTGAGGTTGGCTCTGCATCTCGTGGTGCCAGAGCGCAGTCTGTTCAGCGCCTTCCAAGTCGCCCAGTCTTCTGTGTGCCCAGGGGGCAGTCTCATCTGGTATCACCCACGGATTGAGGTGCGGGGTTTGAGCCTGCCACTTTTGGACTCTCGCTTGCTGAGGTGTTCCAGCGAGTGTCTCTGTAGATCTAAGAAAACTATTTCTTGATTTAAGTCGTTGACGTGCTGGCTGATACCCAAACAAGGGATGAGCTGGAGATGTCTCTGCCTTGGTCCTGTCACTATTGGCTGCTACTTCCCGGCGGATGTCAGGTGGTGCAATACCGGCTAAGCAGTGTAATTTCTCCAGTGGTGTAGGGCGCAGACACCCTGTGATAATGCGGCATGTCTCATTAAGAGCCACATCCGCTGTTTTAGTGTGGTGAGATGTGTTCCACACTGGGCATGCATACTCAGCAGCAGAGTAGCATAACACAAGGGCAGATGTCTTCACTGTGTCTGGTTGTGATCCCCAGGTCGTATGATATTGTTTCTAGCACCCACTTTTTGCTTGATGTTCAGGCAGTGCTTCTTGTAGGTCAGAGAACGGTCCAGAGTGACTCCCAGGTATTTGGGTGCGCTGCAATGCTCCAGTGGGATTCCTTCCCAGGTAATAATCCTCAGAGCTCGGGATGCTTCTCTGTTCCGGGCTGCCTGGCCATATTCCAGCAGCATTCTCTCCTGATGTTTCACCCACATCTATGGCAGACATCCTCAGAGGTTGTGAGGTCTGTTGGAAACTAGGCAAGTGAGGTTTATATGTGGAATGTGGACAACTTCAACAAAAAGGAGGAGACCATGAAAATGAACAAAATCTGGCTACCAGTGTTTAAAAACTGTAAATAAAGAACAACACTCAAAAACAGGGAAATTTCAGACAGGAAACAATCAGGGCCAGCTAACACCTCCCAACAAAGGATTCCCTCAGGCATAAAGTAGCCAGGCTTTGAAGCGGAAAGCTGAACCATGGACCAGGTTGTGGCACAGCTGGTTGGGAGTCAGCTGCATTAAAATCACTACTGACCGAAAGGTCATAAGTTCAAAGACAGTCCGGGTTGGACTAAGCTCCCGAACATTTGTCTAGCTTGCTGTCGACCTCTGCAGCCCGAAAGACAGTTGCATAGGTCAAGTAAGAAATTTAGGTACTGCTTATGTAGGGAGGCTAATTTAATAATAATAATAATAATAATAATAATAACAATAACAACAATAAGAACTTTATTTATATTCCGCTCTATCTCCCCAAAGGGACTCAGGGCAGATTCCAAACATAAAAGGCAAGCATTAAATGCCCGAATACAACAACTATACAGCCATACTAACAAAATTTATACAACTCAACATATAAATATGAGTTATGACTTAACAAACTAAAATTAAATAAAAAGCACAGCCAGTTATAACAGACATTGAAGTTTCCATCAACTGGAAACAATAATTTTCCATGGGGGGGGGGGGGCAAATCAATTAATCATTGCTCAAGATATCTATTGAGCTGGTGGAGTGAGCAGGTGGGGTGATTATTATTATAGTATACAAAACATTAACAGAAAATTAATCTATCAGACACAACTTCAAACTAAAAATTTAACTAATTTTTGACTCCATAAAACTCTCCAGCAGCATGAAAAAGAATGAGGAAGTACTCCATGGTGTCACAAGTGAACAGTAAAGTGAAAGCTCCCCCAGTGGCCGGAATTCAAAGCATATGGAAAGTTAAATAGCCTCTATGTCTGTCTATATATGTTGTGTGTCTATGGCACTGAATGTTTGCCATGTATATGTGCATTGTGATTCGCCCTGAGTCTCCTGCGGGGTGCGAAGGGCGGAATATAAATATAGTAAATAAATTAATAATAAATAACCAAGGTGGCCCATTGCAACATTGACACTTGCCTCAAACACAGTTATAATCCAGGAACAAAATTCGCGTCAAACAGTGTAAGTGAAAGGCAATGCGATAACTTACATGTACATAGAGGTCTTCCAAGTCTATGAGATTGTGTTGCAAAAGCACTGCAGCAACTCTGTATAAAGAAACAGGTGTCTCTCCATTTGGCTCCTGAAAAGAAAAATACGCTTTTACAAAGGCCATTAAAAGTATCACAGCGCAATCTGTCCTTTTTTAGAAAGAAATCATCTGAAGGTAATAGTGCCACAGTGAATTCAAAATACTATTGCTGCTTGCAAATATATCTCAGTAGGGGTGTGCAAAGCGTCAGGCCTCCACTTTGTAATTTGGAGATTCGTATGATTCTTTAATATGAAAGGGCCCTCACATTTTCAAATCGTGGATAGACTGATTGCTCTGAAACTTGGCAGGCTTGCTGCCCTGCTCATGTTGTCTGTGTCACATTTCAGTTGTTCCGCACACCTCTAAATCTCAGTGCTTCATGCACGGACAAAACAATTTTGTTACACGGTAGAGTCTTGCTTATCCAACATAAACAGGCCGGCAGAACATTGGATAAGTGAAAATGTTGGATAATAAGGAGATTAAGGAAAAGCCCCCAGCAGCGCAGTGGGTTAAACCGCTGAACTGCTGAACTTGTTAACCGAAAGGTCGCAGGTTTGAATCCGGGGAGCAGTGTGAGCTCCTGCTGTCAGCCCCAACTTCTGCCAACTTAGCAGTTAGAAAATATGCAAATGTGAGATCAATAGGTACCACTCCGGCAGGAAGGTAACAGCGCTCCACGCAGTCATGCTGGCCACATGACCTTGGAGGTGTCTATGGACAACATCAGCTCTTTGGCTTAGAAATGGAGATGAGAACCAATCCCCCGAGTCGGACACGACTGGATTTGATGTTAGGGGAAAACCTTTAATTTTACCTAAGGAAAAGCCTATTAAATGTGAAATTGTGTCATGATTTTACAAATTAAGCACTAAAACACGTTTTACAACAAATTGATAGAAAAAGTAGTTAAATACACGTTAACGTTGTGTTGTAATTACTGTATTTATGAATTTAGCACCAAAACATTGCAATGTATTGAAATAGCTGTGGATCCGGGCAGGAGGCAGACTGCGTTGGATAATACAAAACGTTGGATGAGCGAAGGTTGGATAAGCGAGACTCTACTGTGTTTCTATAATGAATATCTAAGTACCCAACTTTATATGGATCTGTGTTTGCTGACTCCCTCTCCATGAGGAGGGCTGTCATGCAGAAAAGGAGAGAGCATCTCCCTATAATTCTGCCCTTTCGACTAACTTTGGCTGATTGTAAACTGCATTGAATGGAATCCTATGCACAATTTAATCATGTCTATTTCCTAGGAAATTAAGCTGGTCCTCTGGACAACAACAAAAATTACATTCAACTCCATTGATAGCTCTTGTAAAGAAAACCCAACAGGAACACTTATAGGGCTCCCTTAGTACGCATGCCGAATCTCAGATCACAATAACACAAACGGAAATATTACCTGATAGAATTTGAATTTGAATCCAAGGATATGACAAAGCGTTTGAGGTTCACACATATACATGTAGGATTCTATCAAAGGTACGAAGAATTCATCGTATTCTGGCCTGCATTCATAGACTTCTAAGATAATATCGAGCACTCTGTTAGGATCCAGGTTAAAACATCCTGTTAAAGAACAGAACAAGTTCAAAACCAGAGGCATGGCTTAGATTTCAATCAGACACAAATATTCCAAGCATGAAATACTACTTTTTTCAACAGTTGCTTCAGATTAAGGATAACAGTTGTCAGGAAAGTAATGGTTGCTTACCTGTAACCTTGTTTCTTTGAATGGTCACCTGTGAAATTCGCACATACGGTAATTTTTGCGCAGGTGCAGGATATACTGTATGTGCGATTTCACAGGGACCGCGATGAAGAATTTGTTAAACAACACCTGTCGCAGTAAACAAAGTCTTACCTATTAAAGATTTGATATTTTCTAGGATCAGTTCACTGGTGATACTTCCTGATAAATCTTGTCCCAGTTCGGCAATCAGTTTTGCATAACCTTCATTTTCTTCTCTTAATAAATTGAATTTCTGCTGCTTATAACTATGAGCAGACAAAAGATGACAAGGTCACATACACATATTCTACAACTATAAATAGGAAATAATTTGCGTTTTAGACCTAATTACAAGGAGTGCATTTTTTCCCCATTGTGCACTACATTTGGCCGCAAAAACATTTTTTGATTTTATGGTCTTCTAAACTGAGGTGCGCATATGATTTGATGGCGCATGAGATTCGAGTAAATATGGGTATTTTAATCAAGTTTAACACTATTTTAATGTTAAATTGTCTCCTGCACTGTGCTTATATTATATTATATTATATATAATATAATATAATACATTGTATATATACAATATTGATATTATAACGTAATACATTATACTACTACTACTACTACTACTAAAATGATATTATAATTATATATTTTACATTAAATGTAATACTACTAATAATATTACAGTACAATGTAATATATAATATTAATATTGTGCTATGATAATAATATAATATATTGTATTTACTTTTTACTTGTAAGCCGCTTTGAGTCCCCTTCAAGGTGAGAAGGGTGGCATATAAATGTATTTATTTTCTTTATTTATACCCCGCCCTTCTCCCCCCGAAGGGGGACTCATGTATATAAATGTCGTAAAGAAATAAAATAAATAAAAATAAATAATAAATAATTTTAAATATACTGCAATACTTCAGCTGAAATCCACCTGCTTCTTGTGGATTTCAATGGCTTCTCTGTGTAGTCTGACATGGTGGTTGTTAGAGTGGACCAGCATTTCTGTGTTCTCAAATAATACACTATGTCCAGGTTGGTTGAGGGCCAGCTAACACCTCCCAACAAAGGATTCCCCCAGGCAGGAAGCAGCCAGGCCTTGAAGCTGAAGGCCATTCAATGCTAATCAGGGTAGCCAATTGCAACATTCACACTTGCCTCAAACAGTCAAGAGTTCTTTCTTCCACCCTAAACATTTCACAGATAAATAAACCCCAATTGCCTAGTTTCCAGCAGACCTCACAACCTCTGAGGCAGGAAACAGCCAGGCCTTGAAGCTGCAAGGCCATTCAATGCTAATCGAGGTGGCCAATTGCAACATTCACACTTGCCTCCAACAGTCAATTCTTTCTCCCACCCTGGACATCATTCCACAGATATATAAACCCCAATTTCCTAGTTTCCAACAGACCTCACAACCTCTGAGGATGCCTGCCATAGATGTGGGTGAAACGTCAGGAGAGAATGCTTCTGGAACATGGCCAGACAGCCTGGAAAACTCACAGCAACCCTGTGATTTTGGCCATGAAAGCCTTCAACAACACAATACTTAAGTTTGTAAGCTGCCTTGAATCCCAATTTTAAGGGGAAAGGGAGGAAAAATAAAGTATAAATTATATATTTTGTACTTACAAAAGTTTTGTCTTGATTTTCACAGATTTTTGATTAAACTGCTGAGACTGCTTGATAAGCCCTAATGATTCCAATGTATCTGGGTCCAGGCGCTCCTTTAGTATAGTATCTGAAACCAAGTACTGGGAGGAAAGAAGAGCAGAGATATCATTCCAATAAGGGTCTTTGGACCACAATAAAAAGTTGTTGTTGTTGATATTATTTTTGTACCAACACACTGGGGACATATTATCATTTTAAACGAGCCAACTTAAATGTGTAAAACAACAAATGTTACAATAATGCAACAGCACGAGAGAGAAATGTTTGTCATCTGACCTTTGAAAATAAAAAATAAATGTAAACACAACTTACCAAACACGCTAACACCAGCTGCATGAACTGGTCCCTCTTACTTTTTTCTTCTAAACAACTAGTTTCAATGTCTATCAAAAATCCAAGAAAACAAAACAGATGGTGTTATTTGTGACTGAAATATCTGCTAGCTTTCTTATTCTTCATCCTGTGAAGCAATCAGTGCTCTCACTTCAGGAAATATATGAAGCTATGAAACTTTCTTCCCACCTGAAGATGTTTCGTACTTCAAATAATCTAAGTATTCTTCTAATGCTCTCTTCTATTATCCAAATGGTCCCAGAATCTGAATTCATTATAAAATAATATATTATATGCTCTAAAATAATATATTATAAAATAAAAATATAAATTTATTTTTTATTTATTTACTATATTTCTATACCGCCCCTCTCAGCCCAGAGGTGACTCGGAGCGGTTCAATATATTATTTAAAAAAACCTAAAGGTGCAGACAGGTTTATTTTTCCCCTCCTCCTCCCTTCTTTTTTATGTTGACTTGTTGTTATATGGTAGGAGTAGCATTATTAATTAAAGTAAATGGAGGTGGAACTTACCTAATATGCAAAATACATCAGCTAGGATGGAAGGCATGTCATCTCGATATTCCTATTAAAATGAAGGAGAGAAATTCTCTTGTCAATGTATGATTTCTGTCAAGTGCATTTGGATTATGATACAGTTACCCAATACCAACAGGTCGCATTAGGCTTTCACATAAATAACAGTGACATAAAGCTTCTACAGCAGTGTTTCTCAACCTTCCTAAGGCTGCGACCCCTTAATACAGTTCCTCATGTTGYGGTGACCCCCAACCATAACATTATTTTTATTGCTACTTCATAATTGTAATTTTTGCTACTGTTGTGAACTGCAATGTAAATATCTGATATGCAGGATGTAGTTCCATTTAGTGGACCAAATTTGGCACMAATACCAAATTTGATTTTGTCTCTTGGGAGTTGTAGTTGCTGGGATTTATAGTTCATCTGCAATCAAAGAGCATTCTGAACTCCACCAACGATGGAATTGAACCAAACTTGGCAGACAGAACTCCCGTGGCCAATAGAAAATACTGGAAGGGTTTGGCAGGCATTGACCTTGATATTTGGAGTTGTAGTTCACCTACATCCAGAGAAAACTGTGGACTCAAACAATGAAAGACTTGGACCAAACTTGGCACAGATACTCAATATGCCCAAGTGTGAACACTGGTGGAATTTGGGGAAAATAGACCTTGACATTTGGGAGCTGTAGTTGGTGGGATTTATAGTTCACCTACAATCAAAGAGTATTCTAGGCTACACCAATGAGAGAATTGGGCCAAATTTTCCACACAGAACCCCCATAACCAACAGAAAATACTGTGTTTTCTGATGGTCTTTGTCAAATGGATCCCGACCCTCAGGTTGAGAAACGCTGTTCTATAGGATAATTTGCAGTTGTCACCTATTGCGGGCATGGACAAACTTCGACCTTCCAGGTGTTGAGGTCCAAAAGTTTGCCCATGACTGACCTATAGGCTATCAGAAAAGATGGCTTATGTAAAAGAACACCTCCCGCATCTTTTTGCAAGCACAATAGAAAACATCTGTTAAATGCAAAGCCAAATCTATCCTGCAAAGAATGCGGATGTGACAGTGGTTAAATGAGGCGCTAGGAAGTTGCATTGACTTCAGAGGGAAAGCTGGAGCATAAACATCTTATTAACTCTATCCGCCAAAAGTCTCCTTGTGGAGAGAGAAAGCGGGATATAACAAAACATAACAATAATAATAATAACCAAAGGCGTTTCAAGAAATGGCAACCCTTGACTCGATTCTCTAGACTAAGAGCTGTGTCCCCTCAAGGACCAGAGCAGTTTTTCTGGTCTTCTGTACGAAAAAGTTATAATTACATCAAAAGCTACATGAATCAAACAGGTTCTGGTTTAACAAGCTAAAACTAATAGTCAATCTAGCTACCCTCCTACTTAGAGAACATTCTCTCAGAGTTCATCAGGAGTAGAACTAGGACAAAACATTGTTCTCTTCATGCATTTAGTTTCACTGCTTCCATTAAAAGCAACTTGTGAGCATTTGAAAAGACACATATTTTGAGATAGCTTCTCCCAGCTGGCTGAGAAGAAAAGTAGTATGTAAGCATTTACTATCTGTTTAACAGAGACACAATTAAGGTATATACTTACTATAATGTAATTGAGAACATTACATGCTTGATCATGCTTTAGGTTTCCTTTCACAACATGATAGGCAAGCTCATACAAAGCCTGCTGGATACCTGCAGCACAATGGGAAAAATGCATTGTAAAAAGTTACTTTTAGCTACGATAGAAATAAACTTTATATACATTTCATGACAATGAGCAGATACTTTGTGATTATTTCTACATTACAGATGATCATCACTGAAAAATAAAAACAGCAACATTTCAAAACCTAAAGACTAAATCAGGGGTCCTCAAACTAAGGCCCGGAGGCCGGATACGGCCGTCCAAGGTCATTTACCTGGCCCTCGCTCAGGGTCAACCTAAGTCTGAAATGACTTGAAAGCACACAACAACAATCATATCTCATCAGCCAAAAGCAGGCCCACACTTCCCATTGAAATACTAATAATTTTATATTTGTTAAAATTATTCTGCATTTTAATTATTGTATTGTTTTTAAGGGGGTTTTTTTGCACTACAAATAAGATATGTGCAGTGTGCATAGGAATTCATTCAAGTTTTTTTCAAATTATAATCCAGCCTTCCAACAGATTGAGGGATTGTGATCTGGCCCTCCGTTTAAAAAATTTGAGGATCCCTGGACTAAATTTTTACAAAAGATGAAAATCTCCAACTCAGAGGTGACACAGCATTGTGCTTTTGCAGAGCTCCTATGCAATAATAAACTTTATTTATACCCCACCATCATCTCCCAGAGGAATTCAGCTTACAGAGCCCTCAAAGTGCGAACATATAAAATACAAAAATTGCAGAAACAGTAACATAAAACAATAGTAAAGGTTTCCCCCTTTACTGCATGGAGTGCTGTTACCCCCTGACTGCATGGAGTGCTTGTTTTTAATATGATGACTGACCACCGTAGTTTTAAATATAGTTGTTATTTTAAATGTGTTATTGTAATTATGAACTATGATATTTTACTGATTGTATGTTTTTATGGTTGTAAACCGGGCTGAGTCCCTCTAAGAGGTGAGAAGCTCGGTTTAGAAAACTCGGTATAGAAAACTTTGAAATAAATAAATAATAAATTACCTTCCCACCTGAGCATTATATTATAATGTAATGCAATATAATACTACTACTAATAATATGATATTATAATTATATATTTATATTACATGTAATACTACTAATAATATTACAATATATCGGTATAGTACAATATAGTAATATTTAATACTGATATTGTATTATGCTAATAACATAATATATTGTATGTATATATACTGATAATATTATAATGTAATACAATATAGTACTACTAATATGATATTATAATTATATATTTATATTAAATGTAATATTACTAATAATATTACAGTATAATGTTATAGTACAATGTAATATATAATATTAATATTGTGCTATGGTAATAATATAATATATTGTATTTACTTTTTACTTGTAAGCCGCTCTGAATCCTCTTCGGGGTGAGAAGGGTGGCATATAAATGTCGTAAATAAATAAATAAAATACCTATTGATTTACTCACATTTGCATGTTTTTGAACTGCTAGGTTGGCAGAAGCTGGGGCTAACAGCGGGAGCTCACACCACTACCCAGATTAAAACCTGCAGCCTTTCAGTAAGCAAGTTGAGCAGCTCAGGGGTTTAACCCACTGCACCACCGGGGGTTAACCCATCAAATAATAACAATCAAAATAAATATCTCACTTTACAAAAATGCAATGAGGTTTACATGAGTGAACTTCCCGAAAAACTATGCTCTTTTATAATAGCTCTGATCCAACAATTAAAATGGCAACACTGTGCACCAGGAGAGCAATTCTGCACATATGTACTCAGAATTAAACACCACTGGGTTCACTGGTGGTTTCAATAGACCTTTTAAATCAAGACATCACCCTTTAAATTCCCTGTTAGAGGAGAGGTAAAGAGACTAAACAGGCAGTTTCCAAGTTGCAGACAAGATAGGTTCAGTGTGCTTGTTCTTAAGTTGAATTTGTATGCAAGTCAGAACAGGTGCATGTTTTTAAATCTATTGGCAAAATGCAAGGGATTAAAGAAAATCCCAAACTCAACGACTTACCTCTAACAGCAGTATCTTCACAGAGATTACGACATAACTGCAAGCTAAATGAAGCAGAAAGGAGAATTAAGCATTTCAGAATTTATGTGACTTCAAATTCTAAACAGTCCATTATAATTCAGTTGTCTTCAGAAAGAGCATACAGTTGAAGTAACGTAATTCCACTGAGTTAGGAAAGAAAGCGCTAGGCCCATGTCCTATAACAATATGGCATCAAAGAACTGCTTATGAGCCTGTGGTTGCCTGAGTTGCGAAATTAATACATTTTGTAACTCGCTGCAATACATTTTTTCTCTAAGAATATCTTCACACATGTGATATTGCTTTAAAGAGATAATTAAAGCTTTTGATTGGAGATGTGAAGGCTGGGGTGGAGAAGTGGGAAAATGCAGGATAAATATGCATCCCTCTTGACTATTTCTTTTGTTTTAATTGAGTGAAACACTTTCTATGGTAAGATTTAATCATTTCATTAAACGCAGGGTCTGAAAATATATCTAAAACAATATATAGCACTGGATAACAATTCCTGTGCTTATATTGAGATCCAAGAAACACTTCATGGGAGCTATCTTTTCATGAGAGAAGCACACGTGTTGAGCAACATACCCCGTGTTGAGCTCAGTTTTATATCTGAATATACTGCCAGCCTTGTACTTAGGAGTGTGACTGTCCCTGTTCTAATAATACACTTTGGGTGCAACTACAATGGCGAATGACAATACTTTAACAGTCCTGGCTCAATGTTATGGAATTATGGGAGCTATAGTTTGGTGAGGCACCTACACTCTTTGGAAGGTCAGGAGCAACTTGAGAAACTGCAAGTCGCTTCTGGTGTGAGAGAATTGGCAGTCTGCAAGGACATTGCCCAGGGGACACCCAGATGTGTTACCATCCTGTGGGAGGCCTCTCTCACGTCCCCGCATGAGAAGCTGGAGCTGACAGCTGGGAGCTCACCCCACTCCCAGCATTCGAACCACTGACCTTTTGGTCAGCAGTCCTGCCAGCACAAGGGTTTAACCCTTTGCACCACTGGGGGGCTCCAACGAAGAGAAAGCTAAAGAGCACGTAAAACTACAACTCCCACGATTCCATATCACTGAGCCAGTGGTGTCACACTGCCATTCATTCTACAGTGTAGGGGCATCCTTTATTGTGGTTATTATAAGTGCATTTTTTAAATCCTGATATTTTTTAGAAGAGAAAACATAGAGGATTATTGTCAACATGTGCCTTCAAATCATTTCTTGTCAATCACTTACAGTGACTGACGCAAAGGTAAACTTCTCATGCTTTGTTTGTATAGCTGTGATTTTGCTCAAGCTACATTCTACTCAGCAAACGGAGCGAAACATAAAACCAGCATCTGTTTGCTTTCGTGTCAACAGCGATGACAAACATTGCTGCTTAAGTCTACAGAGAATTATTAAAACTGATCGATGGTAATTCTGCGATAATAATTTCACAAAACAATCATCTTGAATCACTACTTATACCACGAGATGCATTTACCATCTAACCCAAGCATAACAGCTGTTCCATTAATTGACATCCAATTTAGAAAACAGGCTGGGTCAAATTATTGTACAATATGAATTCCAAATATGAATATCGGGACTTGACTATGCACAATAATAAGCAAAAGGGAAAAAATCATATCTGACACTGTAGAATGAATGTTTCTACTACTTTATGTTCTTCTCAGTCTAATCAATATGGCATTATTTAGGAAAATATGTATTTATTTAAACTCAGCTAACATCTAGGAACACTATCTCAAATGCAATTTGTATGTGTGTGTATATATGTGTGTGTGTGTGTATGTATGTATGTATGTATGTATGTATGTATGTACGTATAGATATGTGTGTATATATATATGTATGTGTGTATATAGAGAGAGAGAGAGTGAGAGAGAGAGAAAGAGTGCATTGTTCATTTATTGTATATGCTTAACTTGCACTGTTCAGATAAACCCTTTACCTGTACAATATGTAGCCTAAGGCACATTAACAACACAAGCATATCTAATGAGCACTGCATCTTGTACAAGCAGAATAGGGTAAAGTCTGGAGGTTTTTCAGGTATTTAAGGTCAAAGAGTGGATTGATGGAGCAAAGGTGATGGAAAGGTTTGACCAGATTAAAATATTTCCATGACTCTATGCCCGAAACTTTATTTTCTACAGTTTTCTACTCACAAATGCACAAGTCATAAGACTCCTATTAATACAAAGGCAGATTTTTTTTTTGTAGTTGTGATTAAGGTTGGGGATTTTCTTCATCATCAAATAAAACAAGAAAAATTAATGCAAAAAAAGTAGTATTACAGAGGGAAGACACTGTAATACTAAGAGAAATTCATAAACCGTCAAAGCAACTTAGGTAGAGTCAAAACAGAAAGAGAAGACAATGAAATTCCCTGGTCAGATTCCAAATTAGCTCCCTAGCTAGAACTATTCAAGGATTCCAAAAACCATGTGGAAATGATATGCTAAGAGGACCCATGCATGCCTGCATTCTTGTTGACTCCACTACTGGCTTTAATATGAACAGTGCAAAGGTTAGGAGTACAAGAAGCGCTAGTGAATGGCAGACAGTAAGGATAGAGTCCACATTTTATTTCTGAATAAATTGGAGTACACATGTTGGGTAATGAGCCAAATCCAATGATTTCCACCAAGTCCCTCTTATTCCCACTGCAAACTCCACTTATTCCACTCTCAATCCAACCAGGAATGGAAGAAACACAAACAAAAAATGAATTGCCCAGGCACTATTCAACTCAATGTTGCAAACAACTTATTAAGGCCACAGGAAGAGGATCATATCAAGGGCCCATCTCCAATAGCCTTATCCAGAGATCTCCTAGATCAGTGGTTCTTGACCTGTGGGTCCCCAGATGTTTTGGCCTTCAACTCCCAGAAATCCTAACAGCTGGTAAACTGGCTGAAATTTCTGGGAGTTGTAGCACAAAACACCTGGGGACCCACAGGATGAGAACCACTGTCCTAGAGCCTGCAAGAAGGCCCCAAGGATGGAAGGACAAGGACATTTGAGATCTGGGTTTGAACCCTTCTTGCTCACAGAAATGTACAGTCACACTCTCCTGTCTTAAGAGCAAAGCAAAGACAAACTGCCTCTGAACAAAGCTTGCCAAGAAATCCTTAGGCTCACCTTTAGAAACAGTTTGAAGGCACATACCACCAGGAACAACAAGGACACAAAGGTAACCACCTCTCTAATCATTTTTCCCCATTACAATGATTGATAATACATAATACACATCTCCAAACATGGATGCTCCACTTACACGTTACGGCTAATAGCTTATTCGTTTTACACTCCATGAACATGCGCTTCAAACAGAAACTACAGACTACGGTAAGTCTCTGTGAGCTTCATGATCTCCTCTACTGATGCATGTATAAAGAGGAGTTTGGAACCTTTCACTTATTTTTTCAATTAACACCAGCTTGCCATTTCTACTAGAGCAGACATGGGCAAACTTCAGCCCTCCAGGTGTTTTGGACTTCAACTCCCACAATTCCTAACAGCTGGCTGTTTGGAATTGTAGGAGTTGAAGTCCAAAACACCTGGAGGGCCAACGTTTGCTCATGCCTGTGCTTGAGGCTAGAGGATTGTGGGAACTGTGGTCCCAAAATCAATACTTCTAAGTTCTGATTTAATTACCATTTCTGAAAACAGGTCAGTGTCAAACAATTTATCAAACTAGATTATGGTCCTTTTTTATAACATGGTCCTTTTTTATAACATGACCCGAGCCATCTCGTCACTGAGCTATTTTGTACCTCGATCAAGAGATGGTTGGGGGTCACATCATTAAACCATGTCTTGGTTGTGTGTTTCAAGCAAGGAATAAAAGTAGGATATAAATAAGTGTAATAATAGTAATATTAACAGCGATATCGGAGAAGTTTCTCTAAATCCAACAGGAGCTTCAGGGGGCAAATTAAATTAAGGATTACAACTCAATTCTCTTCATATTTTGTCCAAAACCAAAAATTATTGGAATCTCAACTCCTGTGTTGCGATTCACAATGATAAAAGATTTGGAAGTCTAGCAGGAAAAACCAGAGGGGAGAAAGAAAGAGAACTTCTTGTTTCCAGCTTTCAAACTCTAATTCCATGGCAATTAAAGTGACAGAATTTGACAACAGGAAGGCCTGAAATGGGAGGAAAGAAAGTTGACTAAGGCATGGGGGTCTTCCCAAGTCCCGTAATGGAAAGAAGAAGCCCGGGGTCTCAAGAGATTCAATTTAAATTCACAGATTCAGAGAGGAGGACTGGCACCTTGGATGGTTTGGCTCTAGGAAGGATTAGTTAGGGTAAGAAGCAAAGGAGGGCAGCCATGTTGAAATATTTGAAAGGCTGTCTCGTTGAGTAGGGGGGCAAGCTTGTTTTCTGCTGTTCTAAAGATGAGGACACACTGGAGCAATTGATTCAAAATGCAGGTAAAGAGATTTCCACCTAAACAGTAAGAAGAATTCCGTAACAGTTGATCGGTGGAATACTCTGCCTGGGAGTGTGGAGCAGCCTCCTTCTCTGGAGGTTATTAAGCAGAGGATGGATGGCCATCTGTTTGGGGGGGGGGGGTGCTTTGATTGTGTTGTCCTGAAAGGCAGAAGGAGTTTGGACAGGATGACACCTTCCAACTCTCTGGTTCCAGGTGACTCCAGGAAAGTTTAGTGTAAACAGTGATGGAGGCTGGATTTAAACTGCCATAGAATCCGGATTTCTAAATCTATATTATCTGCTTTGAAGTGGATGATATGTGTCCATAGCTGGATCTACTTTGCCATAGAATCCAGGATTCTTAATCTAGATTATTTGCTTTGCTCTGGATGATATGATGGCCCTTCTACACTGCCATATAATCCAGATAATCAGAGCAGAGAATCCACACAATCTGCTTTGAACTGGATTATATCAGTGTGCACTTTCATATAATCCAGGTTTCTGAATCTAGATTATCTGCTTTGACTTGGATGATATGATACTCCTTTTACATTGCCAGATAATCTAGTTCAAAGCAGAACATCTCGATTTTATATCACTGTGTCGAAGGGGCCTAGATTACCACAGAATCCAGAAATCTGCTTGGAAGTGGGTCATGAGTCTACTCTGTCATATAACCCAGGTTTCTGAATACAGATTATCTGCTTTGGTCTGGATGAGTCTACACTGCCAGGTAATCCAGTTCAAAGCAGATAATCTGGATTTTAAATGGCAGTGTAGAAAAGGCCTAGGATGCCTTGGAATCCAGGTTTTAAAATTATCTGTTTTGAAGAGGATGATATGAGTCTACGCTGTCATATATTCCAGGTTTCTGAATCTAGATTATGTGCTTTGAAGTGGATGATGAGTCTACACTGCGAGAGAATGCAGTTCAAAGCAGATAATTTGGATTTTTATGGCAGTGTAGAAGGGGCCTAGATTGCCATAGAACACAGGTTTCTGACTCCAGATTATTTGCTTTGAAGCGGATATGAGTCTAGATTCAGAAACTTGGTTTACATGACAGTTTAGACTCATATAATTCACTTCAAAGCAGATCATCTGGAGTCTGAAACCTGGATTATATAGCAGTGTAGACTCATATCACTCACTTCAAAGCAGATAATCTGGATTCAGAAATCTGGATTATGGGACAGTTTAGACTTGTATATCATTCACTTCAAAGCAGATCATCTGGAGTCAGAAACCTGGATTATATGGCAATGTAGACTCGTATCATCCACTTCAAATCAGGTAATCTGGATTCAGAAACCTGGATTACACGACAGTTAGACTCATATCATCCACTTCAAATCAGATAACCTGGATTCAGAAATCTGGGTTACATGACAGTTGATTCATATCATCCACTTCAAAGCAGATAATGTGGGGTCAGAAACCTGGATTCTATGACAGTTTAGACTCATCTCATATACTTCAAATCAGATAATCTGGATTATGGGACAGTTTAGACTCGTGTATCATTCACTTCAAAGCAGATCATCTGGATTCAGAAACCAGGATTACATGACAATATAGACTCTTATAATCCACTTAAAAGCAGATAATCTGGATTCAGAAATCTGGATTCTATGACAGTTTAGACTCATATTATCCACTTCAAAATAATCTGGATTCAGAAATCTGGATTCTATGACAGTTTAGACTCATATTATTCACTTCAAAGCAGATCACCTGGATTCAGAAACCAGGATTACATGACAGTTTAGACTTGTATCACCCACTTCAAATCAGATCATCTGGATCCAGAAACCTGGATTACATGACAATATAGACTCTTATCATCCACTTAAAAGCAGATAATGTGGGGTCAGAAACCTGGATTCTATGACAGTTTAGACTCATGTCATTCACTTCAAAGCAGATAATCTGGATTCAGAAACCTGGATTACATGACAGTTTAGACTCATGTCATTCACTTCAAAGCAGATCATCTGGATCCAGAAACCTGGATTATGGGACAGTTTAGACTCATATCATCCACTTCAAAGCAGATAATCTGGAGTCAGAAACCTGGATTACATGACAATATACTCTTATAATCCACTTCAAAGCAGATAATGTGGGGTCAGAAACCTGGATTCTATGACAGTTTAGACTCATGTCATTCACTTCAAAGCAGATAATCTGGATTCAGAAACCTGGATTACATGACAGTTTAGACTCATATTATCCACTTCAAAATAATCTGGATTCAGAAACCTGGATTACACGACAGTCTAGACTCATATCATTCACTTCAAAGCAGATCATCCGGAGTCAGAAACCTGGATTATATGGCAATGTAGGTATCACCCACTTCAAATCAGATAATCTAGATCCAGAAACCTGGATTATGTGACAGTTTAGACTCATCATCTCATCCACTTCAAAGCAGATCATCTGGAGGCAGAAACCTGGATTACACAACAGTTTAGACTCTTATAATCTACTTCGAAGAAGATCATCTCGAGTCAGAAACCTGGATTCTATGGCAATTTAGCCAGATTACTTGTTTTGAAGCGGATTATATGACTCTAAACTGTCACAGAATGTAGGTTTCTGGATCTAGATTGTCTGCTTTGAAGTGGATGGTGAGCCCAAGCCAGGCCTGGGCCAACTTGGGCCCTCTGGGTGTTTTGGACTCCAACTCCCACCATTCCTAACAGCCTCAGGCCCTTTCCTTTCCCCCCACAGCCGCTTAAGGGCCTGAGGCTGTTAGGAATGGTGGGAGTTGGAGTCCAAACCACCCAGAGGGCCCAAGTTGGCCCAGGCCTGGCTTAGACTGTCACAGAATCCAGATGATCTGCTTTGGCCTGGAAGGTATGAGTCTACACTGTCACATAATCCAGTTCGAAGCAAGACAACCTGGATCCGGAGGGCGGGGGGACGGGGCCGAGGCCTAGCCCGAGAGAGAGGTCTCCCCGCCGCCACCGAGGGGCACACAGGCGGGGAAGGCCCGGCCAGGCGACCTCCTCCTTCCCTTCTTTCCCCGCTCCCTCCTTCAGAAGGCCCGGCCCCGCACTCACAACTCGCCCTTGCCGGATTTCTCCCAGGTCTTGATCCACTCGGCAGGGAGCGCCGTCCCTGTTACCGCCGCCATCTTCCCCGTCTGGCCAAGGAAAGTGCCCGGATGTGCAGGCAAGCCAGAAGGGGCCCGCCGCGCGGGGCATGACGGGAAGGCGAGTCCCTGGCACACTGAGCAGCCCATCTCTTGGGTTTATATGCATATATAAAATATATATATATATATATATATATATATATACACACACACACACACACACACACACACACACACACACACACACACACACATATAGAGCAACCCAAAATTATGATATTGTATCTATCAATCTATATAATATAACACATTGATCAGCCCATCTCTTGCACCTAAGCCCATTCCTATTGATTATTATATTATCATTAAATAGTTGTATAATGTAGGAAATTGAGCAGCCCATCTCTTGGATTTATATGCATAAAATATATATATATATATACACACACACACACACATACACACACACACATATAGAGCAACCCAAAATTATGATATTGTATCTATCAATCTATATAATATAACACATTGATCAGCCCATCTCTTGCACCTAAGCCCATTCCTATTGATTATTATATTATCATTAAATAGTTGTATAATGTAGGAAATTGAGCAGCCCATCTCTTGGATTTATATGCATAA